TTGGGAGGCAAGATGGATTGCTGCTCCTGTCTCTGCTCCTGCCTGTTGTTGGGGGTGGATTTCTTAGATGCGATTGGGTAGTGAGTGATGTTGCAGATGTGTGATATACTCTGTGAACTGCTATAATCGAGATGTTCGTCATCATCTCCATATGGAAATTTTCTGTCATGTATAATCGATCGAGGATGCTAGCCCATGGAAAGTTCTGACAATTCCTTTCAAAAACGTATTGAGAATCTATTCAGAGTTTTGATACAAAGATGTTTGAATGACGACGGACTTCTCGATTTAAAGACTGATATCGAAAAATTTGCTAGTATCTACAAAGACCAGACATCAAATGAACAAAAGGAATCTTTAAATGCATTAGTAAGAGAAATAGACCATTTTATAAGTATAGTGGGTAATTGCAAGATTCAAATACCGGATGTTGCAGCGGAAGAAGAGTTGTTATCAAAAACACTAAACGATATTTTTCCTGAATTACAGAGCGATGATATTAATAGTGCTGCTCGCAAAATATTTAATGATATTTACAATTTAAATGAGGAATTTGGCCATAGTATACTACAAGAAGAAGCTGAAAACTTCTCGGTATCGGATTTTGTTTCAAGAAAAATTCAATCCTTTCAAGATAAACTTAATGAGAAACTAAGTAATTTTGTTGGTCATAATGAAGTTATTGATGCAATATTGGGGTATTATAGAAAACTCAAACCCTCTGACTTATCCCAAAAGGCCCCTACTGGTACTGGTATCATTGAAAGAGTCATTCAAAAGATTAAGGAATTAGGGGTAGGTGGTATACTCATTGGGTTTATTATTGTGTTAGTTATCCAGGGGATTCTCTGGGCCACTGGACAACATGATGGAGTGATCGGGAAGGCATGGAGTACAACATTATATTCAGTGGCAACGATTGGAGCAATGTTATATCTAGTATGGGTTGCTAAAAAAAGTTATAATTCGCTTGATCGTGCTTATAGTGTAATAACGGGAGAGGTTACTCATGGTGGAATAATGGAAGTGCTGACGAACAGAGAAACACTGACGGCGATTGCAAGCATGATACCGATGGTTGTTGGAATTCCGAACATGGGAACCATTCTGAGCAGTATATATGGCTTAACGGTTGCTGCGACTAGTATTGTGATGATATATGTTCATAATCTTTCATTGACTGAAATGAACTTGAAGGAGATAGGTGTAGTTATGGTTGGAAACATTTTGGTGATTTCACTATACCTTATTGGGTATAAGAAGAGTTTTGAAGACGATGGCTATGGACCCAACTATCGAATGCATATCGGAATGATTATATTCGTCTTCCTTCTACTCCTTTTGTCCTTCATTTCGAAAAGAAAGACTAATAACACTACAGAACCCGGGATTAAGTCTCATGTAGTGTTTACGATAACCTTACTAGTTAGTACGTTTGTGTCCTTTGTCGCAGGGCGTGAATACAGACAACTATATGGAGGCGTGAACGGTTACGAGAGTCGCACAGCTGCCTGATAAAGAATGCCATATGAAGCGTTTTTCTATTTATTTGAAATGCTTGAAGTATTCTTGAGGCCATATGCATCAAGAGCTTTTGGACGTTATGAGTTGATATGGGCTGTGCTTATATCTCTTCAGCACTCCTTTCGGCAGTTTATTTTATCTAAGTAGAGGAGCAGCACCACCTGTCTTTTTGTTGAAATAAACAGATCCTGACGGGGTTTTATAATAATCTTTCTTATTCTAGATAAATCTTGGCGGGTTTTTGGGCTTTATATTGGAAATCAAAACAATCCCTGAAAGATGTTTGTCCTTTTGAACTTTATATCGAAAATAAAAGAAGCCCCCCCCCAAGTATGTTTGGCTTTGTGCTTACTATTGCTTTATATGATTATGCAATGGGACGGGAATCCCATGTTCAAGGAAGCCAACTAATTGACAACCTGAAGATTGTCCCGAGTCCATCAATGATTGGAATGCTGAAGGAGATGAAAGGTCTTTTTTCGTATGTATCTGAAAATGAGAAGTTTGACGGGGAAGGTATTGAGGTAAAGCATGACGGGAGGATGTTTGTAGTTCCCAGTACTGAGGATGTTGAGAAGGCTGTAGATGTTCTAAAGAAGTACCCGGCACCAAGCGAAGAGGCCATTAGTGCCATGAGGTCTGGAGACGGAAATGCAGAAGGCCAGCTAGGGAACTTTATTGTGTATTTTTTGGATAGCTCTGGGTATAAGGAAAGTTTGCAAAGAAATAAGGAGGGTTTTGCAGAATTCGTATCTACGGATTTATCTCTTGCGTCTTCGCTAGAGGTCCCTGTTCCTGGGATATATGGGTATAATGCAAATGACAGGCTGTCGTATAAGCTACCTCTGAGTGAAGAAAACATCAAGAGAGTTATTTCTTTATCGAACCTTTCGATTTTTGGGTTTACTTCGCCAGCCAACATTTCGCTGTACAGGTCGCTGAAGGGAACTATCTTTTACATTTTCTTTGACACGAAGAGTGGACCTGAGGCATTGATGGAGTATTTTGGAGTTTTAAATGACTTTAGGTATGATGTTCGGGTGATAATTATCCCGAGGATCAAGGAAAGTGTCGATCTTAGCGAGTATGGGCTTACGGAAGAAAACCTTCCTGGATGCATATCGATCAGTGAAGACGGAGGAAAATATGTCCTAAAGAATGTATCGAGGGAGAGCATTTCTGGATTTGTGAAGGATGTGCTGGATAAGAAGGCTGAGGTATTCTACAAGTCTCAGGACGAGCCTGAAGACAACGATAGCAGGAGTGTAAAGGTTGTTACCAGGAACAATGTTAAGACATATATTGAAGATGCATCCAAGGACAGACTCATAGTGTTTGGTACTGAAAGATGTCCCCACTGCGTCCGAGTCAAGCCTGTTATTGAGAAGCTGGGAGAGATTGTAAGAGACCACGCAAACGATAAGGTATTTGTTGGATATTGTGATGTTGGGATGAACGACATGAATGACTTTGACATCCAATTCGTCCCTACTCTTTTGCTCTATAAGGCTGGAGGGAAGGAGAGTGTTCTATATTCTGGCGGGGAGAGGAATCTTCCAAATCTGGCCGGTTTTATCCGCGAATATGGGGGATTGGGAGTTGATCTGTCTGAGTTCGTGGCGCCTGAGGGTGAGAGGAAGTTCGAGGTGGGAGATGATGCAAGAGCCGAGCTCTGATGAAATTAAATGTAATTCCATCCTAGTACTTTTTTGGACAAAATTCTATCCTACAAAGATGGATGTGCCAAGCATTATTCTTAAGCTTCTAGCAGATGGAATTGTTTATGGGGAATATTACGAGGCCTTGGGTGCACTGAATGAGCTTCTTAGGCCTATACAATATGAGGTGGTTAGGTGGCCTGATGGATCGTGTATTGTGCTAAAAGACAACAGGAGTTTGTGCCAACCTGATGCTAGGGCCAAAGAGATTGAGGAAGTGTTCAGAAGAGTGGCATGTGGGATGCCTGTGTCTGGAGATGTGGTTGATGCACTCATTCGAGAGCGATGGATTGAAAATGTTGATGGAAGCCTTCTGCTAAGTAAAAGATCACTAGTACAGCACACGGACTTTATCTTGGGATTGGAAGGAGGGTATGTGATCTGTGATGTCTGTGGATTTCTAAGTGCCGGGGGAGAAGTCCATGAATTCTGTAAGTCACTTCTGGAAAAGGAAAGAGGCTTAAATGGAGGGGATTGATATTCCATCATCAGTAACCCCGGATGGGGATTCTTGAAGTAGAGTTTCCGTTCAGGATTGATGAAACGCACCCAAGACTTAAGATGGAGGTTGCGATGGAGAGAAAGGAAGACCTGGTGTCATTCAGCATAGAGTATGATATGGATCTTGCAATAGACAATGCTGAGCTTAAGTCCAAGGAAGAAGTCCGAGGACGGTTTATGTATGTCTACAAGTTTGTCAATCTGGACAGTGCAATGGAGTTTATGGAAAACAGCCAGGCAAAGGCACTGGAAGCCAAAAGACTGCTGGATGTGGAAAAAGTAGAAAGGGAAATGGACTCATTTATGGAGAGGTATGAAGCAGGAGAGAAGAGATCCAAGAAGAAGAGGACAATTGTTGTTGGGGAGGATGGGTTCATGAAATATGTTTAGCACCCGTACTGCACTAGAAAGTTTTAGAAGGAAAGAACTTTTATTATTAGGACAGTAAAAATACAATAAACTCTTGGATGATAACTATTCCGAACAGGTAGTATGCCCTTCTCATCCTCTCGACCCCTCTATCCATAACACGCCTCTTCAAGCTTCTACTCAAAAATATAAAGAAGCTTACATAAAGATACACACCGACGATCATCTTTACATACTGTACCTTGTTCAGCTGCAAGATTACAGCAATGACATACTTGTATCCGCTGTATGCTATCACATCAAGTGTGCCTAGGGCCACATCAAAAAAGTATCCGGATGCTCTTGTGAATAGCACACACATGGCTTCGAGGAAAAACAGTCTGGTAAACACAATTCCTAGCCTTTCTGGGCTAAACATGCCTTCGAACCCGAGGAAAAGCGCTCTTACCAAGACGTACGAGACAAAACTCATTATCGGAATATACAGCTCTGGCCTCGCCATCCCTTCATCTTCGCTTGCCCACTCCTTGTTGTTGAATGGAAATAAAATCAGCACAAGCTTCTTTAAGACAAATGTATTGTCTATGTCAAAGTAATTTCGGAAGGGCTTTAAAGACACTCCCCCAAGGCCTTTGTTGGCATATTCCGTGCTCCTTCTGATTGCCTCTCTTCCTATTTCTATTTCCATGGGTATCCAAGTATAGAAGTTCATCAAAGCAAAAATATCTTTAGTGTAATCCCTAGAGATGTAATTTATTAATCGCCTTATCTTCTTTTATTAAATCTCCTTGATGTCTTTTCTGTTTCCTTGACATCATTTCTTGTCAGGTCAAAACTTACTCTCTTGCTGCTCTTCTGAGAGTCACCTTCGTCCTTATTTTTTTTCTCGGAAGCCTTGAACATCTCTTCCTTAGACATGTTCCTAGTTGGCTTTTTATTAGGCCTTGCGTCTCTCTTCGGAATCTCCTTGGGCTGCATATCCTCCTCTTCATCTTCACCTCTTGATATGCCATTTATTCTATCAAACACCCTCTGGATGGCAGTGCTTGTTTTTTCCACCTCCTCATTAGTGCAAAGAGACTGGATCTTTTTTTCAATTAGCGATCTAAGCTCAAGCCCATACTCAGATCCCCGCTCCCTTCCAAAGTAGTCGATCCTTGCCGCAATGGAGCATTTTGTTGCGATGTATCTGCAGATCCTTGCCTTGTCTTTATCCCGTACCCTGGAAACATAGCTAGAAGTGTAGAGAAGCCCGTATTTGGGCGTCTTTTTCCTCATCTTTAGTGATTGGAACAATGACTTCTCTGCTCCAAGAAGCTGGAATGTGGATGCAGGAGCCTTTGCGAGATTCAACAGCCCTCCGGCCTGCGAAATAATTCTCGCACCAAGAACATCACCTAGTATGGCCGCAAGGTTGGGTGCAATGTAGCTCATCTTCTCCTTCAGATACTTGCTGAGGTTTCCTCTGATTTTGATCTTGCCGTCTACAATCTCTATTATCCTTCTCAGGTTAACCATGTCTACTGGAGAAAGCTTCATTCCCATCGAGTTCTTCTTCAGCCTCCTTATCTCGTCAAGCCTTTCCTCGTTTATTCCTGCTACCTCACATCTAGAGCAATCAGGCCCTGCTTCTTCGTTCACAAGATATTTCACAGCTCCAATATATTCATGGTTGTCTTTCAGTAACGTCCCCAGCTCAGGAAACACCCACCCATATATCTCTCTTATCCTCATGGAGTACGAGTTTATGTCCTTGTCCACCTGTTCCAGCAGCATAACCGTATGTATCACAATGAAGTCTTCTCTCTTCACATTGTATTCAACCTTTTCCCTGGAGTATTCGTACGCCAGCCCAAGCACCGTCTGCTTGCCATCGTATTCATCAAGCCTCATGAGCTTTTTGAAATTCCGTCTAACTCCTCTCATTATGTTCTCGCTATCCTTATGCTTGATCCTAAGCCCATCAAGACTCTTCCTCAGAGAAACATCGCAATGCAAAACTTTCACATTGTTGAGCTCAAGAAACCTCTTTAGATCATCGTGGATCTCCCCCTGGGAAAGACATTTCAAATGATCAGACGCCTCGTCAATGCTCCCAAACTTCATCCCAGACTTCAGATTTAGGACTTCCGTGAGCTTGGTGTAATCATCATACGTCGACTTTGACATATCCTCATATTCCTTGAGCTCAAACAGCCCGTATCCTCCGGCATACTCAAATAGCAAGTGTTCCATGGGGTCCAGTACTTCTGCTTTTCTAAGCTTTGAAGACAGCCAAACTCGGAGGGCAAAAAAGCAGTTTAATCAACTATAGCATAATAATGTCATCTGCAGCTCTTTCCAGCCTATCCATAATCGCATATCCCTCCCCGCCGAAATCCACACCAGCAATCAAAATCACATCGCTGGTCTTGTCAAGCCTTCTAAGCCCCTCAAAAAGGTTTCTGCATACCTCTCTCTTGTCATTTCCCATGTTGAAGACATCAACCTTTCTGCCAAGAGGAACCTCAATGTTCATTCCAGAATGCAGCCCAACTCCTATTCTAGCGACGCCAGGATTTGCTTCGATGTACCTGAGAATTCTACTTTCCACCTCTCTTGGCTTTCCTTTGAATAGGACCAGAGGCGATCTCGGAGAGTAATGCTTGTACTTCTGTCCTGGAGACAACACTGCTTCGCCGCTCACAGCCTTGTTTTTCATGACCACCTCGCAGCTAACAGCACTCCTTATGTCCTCAATCCCCACTCCCCCCGGCCTTAACACCTGGATGGCACCGTCTGAATACCACACAACAGTAGATTCTACCCCAACAGGACAGGGCCCTCCATCAATTATCATCCCCACTCTATCTCCAAAATCCTCAACCACATGCTCGACAGTTGTGGGACTTGGCCTTCCACTTACATTGGCAGAAGGTGCTGCTACTGGTGCTCCAAGCTTTTCGATTATTTTTAGTAGCTGTTCGTTCCTGGGCATTCTAACGGCAATGGTGTCAAGCCCTCCCCTAACAACGGGATTCACATTGTCCTTCGACTTGAACAGAAGACTCAGGGGCCCTGGCCAGAACTTGTCCATCAGCTTCTTGTACTCCACAGGAATAGGACCCTCAATAACGTCTTCAAGCATCTTCTCCGAAGAGACATGGACAATAAGCGGGTTGTCTGCAGGCCTTCTCTTGAGCTCAAATATCTTTTCCACTGCACGAGGATTATGGATGCTTGCTGCCAGTCCATACACAGTTTCTGTGGGGACAACCACCACGTCATCAAAGAACTTTACAACTGAATCTATGTCGAGATCCCTTATGCTGACTATCCTCATTTCACCAGGGCCCTTGCTGGAAAATGAAATCGATGTTAAGCATTAAGAACTGGCCCTTGCGATGGTGAAGGCAACAAAAGGCTATTTCCTCAGAACAGAACCCAGTGTGAAGGAAGTGATACTCAAGCTTGGAGAGACGGAGAACTTCATAATAGAGGACATAAATGACACGTGCGTTTTCATCACACCAGAGGCAGCCTCGGACATCAAAGAGCGAGTTGAGCTCATAATGAACAATGCAAAGAATCCGGGGAAGTGAAGGCTTCTCTCGAGTGGAAGGATATGTTATGAGCTTTGCATAGCCCCTATGGGTGTTCGGTCGCTGTGGAGGATTCTCAAGCCTTCTGCAGAAAGGGTTGTGCCGTCTGGAATAAGACTTGCTGTGGACACAAGCATCTGGATATGCCAATATGGACACTTGGGGAGTGACGACATTGTGTACTTTTTTTCCAAAAGAGTCATCAAGCTGCTTTACCATGGAATCCAGCCAGTATTTGTGTTTGACGGAAGAGCTCCGGAGATCAAGCGCCAAGCCATTCTGGAGAGAAGAAAGAGGAGCAACAGGAGCTCGATAGTAGCGGTAGACAGAATGCTTAGAGGCAGGCGCGATGAGGAAAAGGGGCACGATGGGCATAAGCCTGTTATATTTGGAGAGGGTAGATATAACTGGGGAGACTTCTTTGAGTCTGACTCTGATTCATATCTATTTGAGTATGAGACAAGCTCGAGTGAAGATGCTCTTTCTTCTGAGCAGGAGGAGCAGCGTGATGGATTGGAGCCAAGTATAAATTTTGATTTCATTGAGTCTAAAGATTTATCGAGAACACAAAAGCTTAAAAGACTGGTTGAGCTGAGAGGCCGAAGAAAGGAGATAAGAACAAGGGGTGGCACCAACGACCCAGACACTTTTTCACGCCTACAGATTAAGAACCTAAGAACACGGAACCTTATAAGTCACAATATAAAGATTCTGGAGGAGAAAGGATACAAAAGGGTTCACGGGGATTGCAAGTCTGTTTACAAGCTTACAAAGAAGTCTGATGGAAGCAAGAATCCCATAGTGAAGGATATTGATAGACCTGCAGACAGAGAGTCATCCTGGAAGTCAGAATTGTGTATGGATAGTGATTCATCTTCACAGGAGGATGAAATGTGTATAGGTATTGATCAATCCTTGGAACAGTTGGAATCTTATCCAACACTTAAAAGCTTGGTCGATAAGCACAGAGTGTTGGAGGATAGTCCGAAGGAGAAAAATGAAGACACTGAAGGGGCAAACAAAATTGATGCCGAAAGAGTGTCTTCTATAAGCAGTGTGAAGGAAAGGATGATGGGAGGATTCTTTGTTTTGGATGACGGTACTGAATCTTTGCCGGAGAGTTCTGAGAGATGTGTGGAAGAAAGGCATGGTAGCCTCTTCGGAAGTAGAAAGGTCCTTGGTGAGGCAGGGCAAGAGAATCGGGATATTTCTAGGGCACTAAGAATCATCAAGGATGTGCTCGATGTGTTCAACATCTCATATGTGGATGCACCTACGGAGGCGGACTCTCAGTGCGGGTTTATGTGCTATTCCAACATTGTGGATGGAGTGATAACCGAAGACAACGATGTTCTGCTTTATGGTGGAACTATCTTTAGAAACTTCTTTAGAAAAGATAGGGAAATAGAGAAGTACAGCCTGGAGAAGATTGAGGAAGAGCTGAAGCTTGATAGAAAGAACCTGATTGAGCTTTCACATCTTTTAGGAAGCGACTATACACCCGGGGTTAGAGGGATAGGTCCTGTTAAGGCTCTCGATGCGGTCAGAAAGGGAACTGTAAGAGAAGAAGATGTAAAGGTGCTGATGGAACTATACATGAACCCAGTGGCGGCCGATGTGAAGGGCATTTTGGATCCCGTTATAGATAAAGACAAAATAAGAATGTTCTATAAAAATAGTGGGGTAAGCGAAGGAAGGATAGATGGGGTGATGCGGTTTCTCTCCAATCTGAAACTTGCATGATTACTCTGGACGAACGTTTTTGGAAATATTTATATCTGATATAGCGAAAAAAGAAGTCAAAATTGTATCCATATGAAACTAAGGTCGAGAAAAATAAAGAAAAGATGCTTGATCTTTTTAGTTCTTTTATCTAATCTTCTACTGATTCTGTTTTTGAGGCACATGAACAGGATGAATATAACAAATAAGGTAGATATGGGGCGGTTGAAGTGGTTTGGAACAAGCACAATGGTGGTGAGTGGGCTGGAGGCATTTCGGGACGTGCGTTTTTCTGATGCAATCTCGGCAGGAGAACTTATTTCGATAGACATTCTGGACCATGGAGATGCTGTAGACTCAATACTAAGCCGGGTGAACACAGAGGTAAGGGAGGTATTGTTGATTGACGCGAGAAGGCTCCGGGGACTAAACCACTCGACCTTTCCAAGGTTCGAGAGAGAGAAGTTAAACTGTAGTCTTGGGGTAGACTACATTGAAGAACTGGCCAAAGACTTTATCAGAAGAGTAAATAATGGGAGAATCAAGTATCCGCAGGACAACAGCGCTGCAAAGGAATATGTCATAAAGCTGAAATCATTTGTCAAGAAGCAGACCAAAGGAGAGGACAGGAGTGAAATGATAAGATTGGTAAATAAGATGTTTCCAACGATTGACATCTCCTTCTATACATACATAATGATGGTCCTGCTCAACATCCGGGAGATGATTGTGGAAGATTTCCATGCTATCGAGGAGTCCTTCAAATGCAATAAGATTTACTCCATCTCCAACGATAAAATAAACAAGCTCGGAAGAATGATCATGAGAACACGAGCTTTCAGCGACAGAATGCCCAAATGGGATGTGTGTGATGTGTGCTGCAAAGTGTTTACTGGAGAAGGTCGTGCCAGCCTGCAAAAGCTTGTATGCAATGATGTTATATGTAGAAGATGCTTGAAACAGTCGTTTCTGTACTTGTCCGATGATCTCTGTGTGAAGTGCAGAGAAAGATACGACACCCTATCGGATGATATCTCCCAAGATCTATTTGATTAGATCATGTGTATCTTGAGATGAAAATTCACAACCTTTAAAAACCACAAATTTTAATTGAGGTTCAAACAAATGTGCGATAGAAATGCCCATGAAAAGCATGATTGAGGAAGTGAAGAAGGACGGAAAAAGAAATGGAGGGAATTCCCACGAAAAGACTTGGAATAGAAAAGGCCTTTTGCAAGAAAGACATGCTGAGAGGGTACCTTCCAATCGAGGCGAAATTGTGAAGCCTGGAGATGGAGTGGGTGCTAACAGGAGGGGGAGATATGAAAACGGCCTGAGCATCGATGCAAATGAAAAGAAAGCAAGTGCAGAAGACATCATGGCATGCGAAGCTTCTTCGTCGAGTGGAAGTGTAGAAGAAGGCATGAAAAAGTTGCTGTCGAAGGACGTAAGGCCAGCAGAGGGTATTAGGTGGGAGGCATTCGGGCTAAAGCCCTTGCTTCTGAAGAGAATATACAGTATTGGATATGAATTCCCCTCACCCGTCCAAGCAGAATCTATTCCACATGCTCTCAGGGGAAAGAATCTACTGGTTAGATCGAAGAACGGGACTGGAAAAACAGCGTCCTATGTGATTCCTATGCTCAATGCCATAAACCCCGAGGAGCTGAGCATTCAGGGGGTTATACTTGTTCCTATAAGGGAGCTTGCACTACAGATATCAAGGAATGTCAAGAGGCTATCTGAAGGCATGGGGGTGATATCTGTGCCTGTTGTTGGGGGAACAAATATGCAGGATGACATCATAAGGGTATCCAATGGGGTCCATGTGATGGTGGGGACACCAGGGAGGATAGTGGATCTGGTTGAGAAGAAGATTGGAGTGCTCTCAAAGAAGGTTGTGCTTGTGTTTGACGAAGCAGACAAGCTACTTGATGTGACGTTTGGAGAAACAGTCACCAGGCTTCTGGAGCTACTGCCTAAAGAAAGGCAGATATTACTGTACTCAGCAACATTTCCATATTTTGTTACGGGCTTCACCAAGAAATACATGAAGGAGCCACTATGCATAAACTTGATGAAGGAGCTCGCACCCATAGGAATCAGGCAGTTCTACACGCAGGTGAAGCCCTCTGAAAAGCTTCTGTGCCTGAGATCCCTTCTTTTGAAACTGAAGATTAATCAATGTGTGATATTCTGTAACAGCATCAGGACTGTGGAGCTCCTTGCCATGAAGATTACTGGAATGGGGATGCCTTCTTATTTTATTCATTCAAAGATGGCACAGGAGGATAGAAATATAGTGTTCCATAACTTTCTGAAAGGAAAGTGTAAGATTCTAGTTGCAACCGACCTCATCACACGTGGAGTCGATGTCCCAAACACAAACTATGTGATCAACTTCGATGTTCCCAAGTCTCCTGAGTCTTATCTCCATAGGATTGGAAGGGCAGGTAGATTTGGAACACGTGGTGTTGCAATAAGCCTGGTTACGATAGAAGAAAAAGAGATGCTGGCAGATATAGAGACAAAGCTAGGAAAGGAAATATCTCCACTTTCTGACGGAGGTCTAAACCGCTTACATGAAAGTAACATAGACAAGAATCAAGAATAAAAGCAAAATTTTGAGTTTCAATGTCAAGGCATTTACTGGCCTTTTAACGCCATCAAGTAATTATGTCGCTGTAGGCTTTCTATTCTTCGTTATCTCCAACCTCTTCTGTGGGAGGCACGAAGTAGGGGATCTTTCCTCTGACCCAGTCATGAAGAATCATTTTCGAAACCGCATTAACATTGGGCTCCCCTCCCTTTTGCAGCTTGCCGAACTTGACTGCAAGCCTTTCGAGTAAGTCTGCAGAGTCAACAAACTGAACTCTATATGTCTTTGCTATTGAGTCCCTGGCCTTCTCAACTATCATGTCGATGTAATCCTCAGGATTCTCGATGTTTTCAATTCTGACAGCACCTCTAAGAACTGCTTGGTCGTAGTCCGAAATAGGAACAATCCCAGGGCAATCTATAAGGTATATCCCTCTTGTGAGTGCTATATATTGCCACACCTTGGTCTCTCCCGGCACGGGCGCAACCTTGCATACTTCCTTGTTCCTTAAGGTGTTTATTATGCTGCTCTTTCCAGTGTTTGGATACCCCACAAATCCAACGCTCAAGTGCCTCTTCTTATATAGTTTGCTAAGCTGCTTTAACAGTCCTATTAGATTTGCCTTTCCATAGTTCTTCGTTATAGAGTTCGAGTGATATGCTATTGTGGGATGCGACCTCGAGAAGTGCCTTAACCATTTCGCCGTAACCCCTGTGGGAATAAGATCCACTTTGTTCAGGACATACATGAGGTGCTTATGAGGGGCCTCCTCTTTAATGTAGTTTGCTATCTTATCGCACACAGTTCCAAGCGGATCCCTTGCATCAAGAACGTGAATGATGACATCGCTGCTATCCAGAACCTTATATAATTCAAGCCATATCCTATGGCTTTGTCCCTTTACATGATCTTTCTTCACCTCCTTCTTTCTTTCTTTCACCTCCTTGACCTGCTGGGACAGCTCCTCAAGACTACTGTATTGAAGATTGGGTCTCTTCCTTACAGATTTTTTCCCGAAAACCTCTCCAAAGTCTGTGGCCTTCTTCTTCCTTATCCCATCCTCTAGCAAAGAGTAGGGGACCTTCCCTGTTCTAAGAAGCACACTGTATGGACTCTCTATCTTTACCTCCGACCTAAACGCATCCAGTTCTGTGGGAGATATGGTTTTGGTCCCGGTAAACCACTTCCTACTCGGCTCAATCCTTCCAACATCAGCTTTCGAACTCTGGAAAGGCGCATCTTTGATTATCACCCCCCTTGAGTTTTTCTTTGGCTTCCCCGACCTTAGCATCTCAAGATACTTCAGATTCTTCTTGTTGTAGTAATTCTCTCTCATTCTCTGGGATAATTTTTTAATGTCTTAACATTCCAGACAAGGAGATGGGAAAGGCTAGCCGCTCTTACACTCCCAGAGAAAGCCTGCAGAGGAGCAGATGTATTCCTCATAGCCCTGCAAACATACGTCTTGACTTCGAGTTAATATTCATATCGACTATTTGGTCCTCAGTGCTAACAAATATCTTGTCGTTCATCTCAGAAAAGACAGCACCAGTTATCTGCTTATCTGGAAACACCTTAATTCTTTGGCATCTTCTGAAGTCTCTCATATCACAGACAGTCAGAAACGAGAAATGCTCCGTAAAAAACAACAGATCTAGGGAGTTCTTCAAGGAAAACTTCACGTTCCGGACAGCTCCTCGGTGGCTGTCCTTCTGCTTGCTTTCAAATCTATGAAGGATGTTATCGCTTCTTATGTCCCATATGCATACATACCCATCCTGCGTTCCAACGGCAAACGCAGAAGACATGCTGTTCCACGATACACTAAATCCTCCATCCTCTGTACTTTTTAATTTTTTGACAAGTTTATAGTTGTCGTTGTCAATGGAGTAAAGAAACACATCGTTGGAGTCTCCCACAACAACCAGGAACTTGTTGTCTGGGCTAATCCCACAGCTATTGACCTGTGCTATGTGATTTATGCACCCGCTACTCTGAAGCTCCATTGTAAATATCTTTAGAGTTCTGTCATTGTTGCATATGAAGATTCTGTTGTTGTTTATGCATATATTATTGTTAATCGACGAGCTAACAACTTGAGAAAGAACCTCATTGGTAACAAGGTTCTTGATCTTAAGATGGCCTCTGGAGCCGCCCACTGCTAGAAAGTCGTCCTTCAAGCATATGGATGTGGGAAAGAAGTCCACGCCCTCGTATATGGTCCTGATCTTGTTTTCACGAGGATTGTAGGAAACTACATTGCATGCCCTAGGGAAAACCAGGGATTCGCCCTTGACCTTGATCATGTCCTTGAGCTGCCAGTGCTGCGAAGTTACTCCAAAGTCGCATGTTTTCTGAATACCATTAACTAAATTAGAGACCTCCCGAGTTTCTTGTGACATTTGTTTATTTAGTTGGTGATGCAAGACTTTCAAGGACATCTAGTTTGACGAGACTTTGAGAGCTCTGTCATCTTTTACATGGGGAGATGGGCTATCCCCGAAAGCACCTCCAGCTCAAACATTGTTCAGAAACTCCTCAAGCTGTAGTATCTGAATTCCTTCTAGGCTGTCATTGTTTAATATAAACTTTCTTACCATTTCCTTGGCTTCCTCCGTAACAAGGGAAGCCTCCTCAATAACCTCCACCTTACTACTGTAGTCCATTGAGGGCATTTCTTTGGATTCTTATGAGTTGAAGAGTGAAATTTCCAATCCCTAATGCCTTCTGGCTGGAATGCTAAAGACCTTTCTCTTCTAGCAGTGGAGATCTCCAGGGTATACGGAATCAGTCATGAGGAGATAGTGTCCATGGACCTCAAAAGAGGAACGAAAATATGCTACACTCGAGCGAACGGGTCAGAAGTGACACTCGACTATTTGTGGGAACATGATGAGGAAGATCTCAAAACAAGGTTCAAGCTATGTCTGATAGAGACGCGACTAAAAAGCTGCACAGACAGTGCTGCAAATAGCCTCCTTCTACTTTTTCCCACTGCGTCCAAGGAGAATCAGATTACGATATTTGCAATATTCTACAAGCTTGCTACAAAATACAAAGTGTATGATGAAAAGATACTTTATGAATGCAGGACACATATACACATAGCAGCCTTTCGACAGGCCATTTTGAAGATATTGATAGCATACTCTTTTTCCAGGCCAGACCTCATTTTTAGGGTATTCACGTATGAAGAGGCTATGGAGATGAATCTCTTCAATCCTAAGAGCTTAAGTCTGGAGGATCCAAACTCGATAAGTATTGTGAGAAGACTGTTTTCAAATATGGACAGGACTTCGTTCAGACACTCAAAAAGAATACTTAGAGATATGGATGAGAGGTTTTTTCTGTACCTGCCGGACGAACTCAGTAGCAAAGGATATTCGCATCTTCGGGAGCTAATTAGGGAACTCCCCCCTACAAAAGTTCAGGCGATTGGCAGGATGGTTTCAAGAAAGTCTACCGTAGGGCTGTTTCTGCACCCAGAGATAGACGATGCCCACAAGTTCTTTGCCCATAAAGATATAGAGGTCAGGATTGAATCACTCAGGCACATCAAGGATGTCAGGGTGATGAAAGAATTTTTAGAGGTTAATCAATTTATCTATAGCAGAAGCATGCTGAAGTTATTGTCTAGATACTTCCAGATATGGCTCAAAAAAAGAGCATCTAAGGATCATGAGCTTAAGACGATGTATGCTGAGACCATACACCCGATGCTTCAAAGCAGAAATACATCTAGAAGGTTACTTGGGGTATACCTCATGGAGTCACTAGTATCAGAGGGTATTGTTGAATTTTCGGGATGGGCCCAACTACTATTTGACCCTGACTATGAGATAAGGAAGATTGGATGCAAGTACAGTGAGGGGGTGTCCCTAGAGCTCAGTGAAATATGTACCCGGATAGAAAGTTACCAGCCATATGATATTCACGGATGCATAGAGTACATGAAGAATAACCGATCAGATCAGTTTCTTGGCACTCTGAAGGAGATCTTTGACAATAAAGTAGGTTCCATTGTGAATGGGAAAGGTACGGAAGAGATTGCGATACACGGGTTTCTAAGCCTGTTTTCAGAAATGAGATATGACATTGGAGCCTGTGTGGATGTGGTTTACAAATACTGCTTTGAGAGGCTTTCAAATACTATTTATGAACAAGAGGATGACAGGCTTGTAGCCTGCAGTAAAAACATGAATGAGTGCTGCAATTATTATTACAGAATGGCATTGGATGGTGACAAGAGCTCCTCTTGGAGGCTAGTACAAGCGCTCTTACACATAAACCACTTGGGTGTCATATTACAGGTATCTCAGTATCTGAATGGAGTACTCAAGAGCGGAACTCTTGGAGAACGTGAAATACTACAGATAATGGATGCATCGTTCAACAGAATCAAGAGTTGCAAGGTTGTTTCGAGAAAAAGTGGAGGAATGCCTTTAATTTTCGTAGCAGTCCTTAAAAACTATCCATTGATTATTGATGGCATCCTAGAGAGGCTACTCGAGCTTACTGGTGGGGATGAGAGTACTGTTAAAATTCACTGCTTGAACGTCCTCAGTAAAGTTATTGGAGACGGGTGCCTGAGCCCAAGAATGTCTTTTCGGATGACTGAGTTGTTTAGGCTGACCTTTAAATGCAGCAGATCCAGCCTTTGGGCTATAAGAAATGTAGGGATAGAGATGTTTTCACATCTAGCTCGAAAAGTGTTTGTACAGGACTCGGTGTGCATTGTCTCAATGGCTCATAAGGAGCTCAGAAGCTTGCTTTACAAGGAGCTTGATTCTTGTTATGGCAAAGGGGACAATACTTTGGCGTTTCTTATCCTTCATCTGTATGGAAGGATAAAGAGGCTGGACGAAGAGGAAATGAAAGTAATCCGAAGATTTTCAGGTAAGAGTGGGATGATCGGGCTAAAATCAAAGAGGATTTGTGAGGGAAAGGAATGGATAAGGCCTAAACACCCAGAAGGTCGGATGGCGTTTGATGAGAAGCTAGGGGAAGGAGAAATACTTTTAAGGCTATTAATACTTCTGGATTCTGAACACACTGAGGAGAGAAAGATGGCTGAACATTACGTCAAAAGCACATATAATCTGTCTTTATACTCTGAAGAGTATCTCAAACATCATATAGCCAAAAGGATTTGCAGTATTGGATACAGAGAAGCTGCAGTTCAGAAGCTTAAGAAGTACAGCTTAAATGTAGAGGAATCCCTAAACTGCTTTTTTAGAGACTCTCCCTCAAACGAGCGATTTGATTTGGGATATGATGTCTTTCTCATGCAGAAGTACAAAAACTAAGAGAATTGACCCTTTACCTACTATTATTTAATTAAAGGTGAAACTGCAAACTAGTCCTCAGGGTTGGCACCTTGAGACCTTTCTTGGATAAAGAGTTGCCTCATCAACATTTTCATACTTCATAAGGCCCATCAGGAACCTTTCAAAACCAAGGCCATATCCTCCATGTTTGCACGGGCCGAATCTTGCCATGTCGAGATACCAGTAATATGGGTCAATGCTTATGTTTTCCCTTTTGAATCCTTCAATCAGGTCTTCATAGGTGTCCTGTCTCATAGACCCACCAAGAATTTCTCCAATTCCTGGGAACAGAAGATCAGTACTCTCTGTCAGATTCTTGTTGTCTTCATCCCTTCTCATATAGAAAGGCTTGTGCTCTACAAGAAAATGTGTTAAAAACACAGGGCACCCATCGCCGATAACTTCAATAAGATATCTCTCTGCAGCATCGGGAATATCATCCCCAAGCTCAAAGTCTGTGCCGTCTTCCTTCTTACACCCCTTGCTTCTTAATAACTCAATAGCCTCGGAGTATTTAACCCTTTTGAACGGGGCTTCTGGAACCTTATGAAACTCAAAGTTAGGAAACACCTTCAGGATATCTTCCTTCATTTCCTCATAGAATCTTTTCATCGAGTATGATACCAAGGCCTCCACAGACGATATGAGCCCGTTCAGGTCAATATCTGCAAGCTCTGCCTCAACATGGGTGTACTCACTCAAGTGCCTTCGCGTCCTGCTTTTCTCTGCCCGATAAGATGGCATGATACAGTAAGCACGATGGGAAACAGGCACCACCGTCTCAAGGTAGAGCTGAGAAGACTGCGTCAAGTAGGCATCAGCTCCATAGTAATCCAGCTTGAAAAGCGTGCTTCCACCCTCCACCTGGGTTTGGACCATTGTGGGTGGAGTAATCTCTGTGTACTCTTTCTCAAAGTAGAAGTCTCTTATAATCTTCAGAAGATGGCTTCTCGCCTTAAGAAACAGCTGGCGCCTCTTTGTTCTGAGAGCCAGATGGCCGTTTGTGAGTATGGCATTTACTGAAGACTCCTCGTTCAATGGAAAAGAAGGTGCTATGGACTGGTTGTATATCTCGATTCCTTCAACATGTATCTCAAACTCATGGGAATCCTTCTTCCCAAAGTTTTTTGTCACCGTCCCATAAACAGTCATGGATGTGCACATAGTCAGATGCATCTTCTTCTGATACACACACTTCACTGTCTTGTAGTGTGCATACAGATCGATGAATGTTATGGCAGACTGCGATCTTACATTTGAAACCCATCCAAAAGTTCGAATTTTCTGCCCTATGTTTTCCTTGGTTATCTTTGATAGCTCAATGTTCTTGTATTCAGAGACATCCAGTCTTGTGATCTGATCCTCAATTTCTTTTTCGACCTTCTCGGACATTGGGGCTTTCCACCAAGGCCTTTTTGAGTAAATCTACAGTGCAAATGGCATCCCAGCCCATCTTTGTCTATTTAGCAAATATTTTGCCTCTTGCATTGGGATATTGGCATAGGATAAAAAATTTAAGGTCTAAAGTTCTGGAAACTTTCCCCATCGATGCAGAAGAGGAATGTTTATGCAGTCCCGGATCTTCCGGTTAAGGAAATAATGCAGTACTTCAGTGAGATGGAAATAAACATCAAAGCAAGCGATATTCTTAAGCCAACACCCCAGTCGACTCAAAGGATATATGAGATATTGCTTGAGGTGTACTGTGGGATCAGGACGTCTGACATGGTGCCCCGAATGGAGAACACGGAAATGTTTGAGGAGTCCTTGTCATACCTTCTTCTACAGAAGAGGATGTCGAGCTTTCTTAGAAGAATAGGCATTGACAATTTTGGGCTCAAGGACCTTGCACCTGATTCAAAAAGGCTCATTGGGATTCTGAGTGTAATAGTGAACTTTTCGATGTTCAGAGACAACAAAAGGCATGTGTACGAAAGAGTGTGCCAAATGAATGATGAGAAACTACTTCTTCGGAACGAGATAGATGAGAAGGTTCACAATGCAAAGAAAGAGCTCGAGAGGTGCGAAAGAGACGCAAAGAAAAGTGTGGAAGAGGCAAAGGAGATCGAGAGGGAGATATCTGTGCTCGAGTCTGAGCTCAAGGATTTCTACAAGCACCAGAGGGCCTTGGTCCAGGAAACTGAGAGGGTCAAGGCGGAAAGGAACGAATGCAGCGATAAGCTAAGCTCTCTGAGATTGATGCTGCTCAATCTCAATCAAGAGATAACATGTCTGAAGACTCAGGTCGTGAGTGACCCAACAAAGCTCATGGAGTTGCTTGACGAGATGAGATGCCTAATTTCCAAGGAAAATGAAATAATGAGAGGGCTAGAGGCAAAGAGAATAAGTCTAAAGGAAAGGATCGAGTTTATGGAATTGATAAAAGAGGATACGATGAAAGCAATCACACTGTCTCTCTCCAACAAGGAGGCAGACAAAGCCATCGATAGGACAAACAGGGAGATATCTGAGCTAGAGGTTCAGATAAAGAATCTTGATTCTGGTATTAATGCCCTGAAAATTCGCCTGAATCATGTTAACAGGCAGATTTCGCACATTGAGTCTAAGATATTTAACCTTCAGGATAACGACAAAAGGTGCTCAGAAGAAATATCTGCAAAGCTTGAGAAGCTCAAGAACAACTATGGGATTGTTTCTGACGAAAGAAACTCCATAAGAAGAAAGATTGAGGAGAATGTGCGGTTAACAAAGAATATTGAGTACGAGCTTGTAAAGAAGAGAAACGAACACATAAACGACATAACTGCAATCCAGTCGGCACTTTGCAGACTGAAGGATGATGTCTTCAACTACTTTGCAGAGGCAAAAGGAGTGATTGATAAGTCTATGTCCAGCTGAAGGCTGCGTTTTATTAGGGAGAATTTTGATCCCTCAAGATGCTTCCGGAGTCTGTCAATAGCCTCTATAAAAGCCTTAAGGCTGTGATTCTTCAGTTTAAGTCTCCAGCATTTGGAAGTTACTTTCTCAAGAAGGCCAGAGATGAATACGATAGCATCAATGCCAAGTTCTGTGAAAAGAAGGACGAAAAGGCCATTGAGAAGTATCTTAAAGAACAGGGAGAGCTATTGGAGATCCTCAAAAGACAGACGACAATCTACAACATGTTCTACGACGATTCAAGTGCGATATAACCATTCTTATATAGGAGGTGCTGGCGAGGAGTGCTATTTACAGCATGATAGAGTAAGTTCTAGAATGAAATGCCATAAATAGACACAGGGGGAGGGACTGCTTGAATTAATAGCTGATGCAGCGTGTCCATGGATTTCCGATAATAAAAGTCTATTCTACCAGATGCCTTTTGACTGAGAGATACATATAGAGCGAATTTCTGTAACCCATGGTTCTTGGCAGGATAAAGAAGATGCTATCGAATGTAAAAAAGAAGGAACTGTCTGGGGATTTATACTGTGGGAGGGAGCACCTAATGAGTGGGTGCGAGATATCCGTGTCGGAGTCGGAGCTTTCATTTGTATCCAAGAAAAGTAAGATGCAATTCAAGCTTAGCGAGATTATGTCAGTTGGGCATGACAACAAAGCCTTATGGTTTATTCATGGGCAAAGGAAGTACCTCTTTACGAGCAGTGAAAGTCTAGATGCTCTCTACAAGGGCATAGTACCTCTCATAAAGAAAGTCAAAACTCTTTATAGAAAAAAAGCGGTGTACTCAAGATATAACACAGTTTCAGGAAGATTTGAAGAAGCTGAAGGGCAGGTTGAAGTGTTTATTGTCGAGGATGAGGTATTTCTGATCAGGATAGAGACAAGAGAAGATGTTATACATTTCGAAGAGATAAGAACGGAGACGCAGTACTATATGGACCAGAAAAACGCAACATTTGTATGGTCTGTGATGGAGAACGGGGTTTTCCACACGTTTTCATTGAAGTTCACAGACAATGTTGACTTCCTTGAGTTTCTCAGCAAGTACATTGGATGTCTCTATAGAAATGTTAACCACGAGAGGAAGGGAGACGAGGAAGCAGAAAAATATTTTGAAAAGATGGAGATGGAAAACTACAATCCTGACGTGTCTGAGGATTCCGAAGAGGCTGAAGAGTATGCGAGCTGCGATGACGATGAGCTTGAAAACCATTTTGGAGAGGCAGACGAGAAGAACAAGCATCTTGTTGTGGGAGATGAGATGGCCTTTATCACAAGAGGAAGATCTGTGGGGGTGTTCAAGAACACGAATGATGGCTTGGAATTCAAGGCAAACATCAAGGATGTGCTGGATGACGATGTGGAAAAGATAATCACGCATGACAACTGCTCCTCATTAATTTACTTAGACAAGAGCGAAAGAGATAAGTTACACAAGCTTGATGTGGAGAGAGGAGAGGTTATCGAGACATGGGATGTTCAAAGAAATGTCAACGACTACTTTGATTCACAAAAACTGGTTGACACCGGGTCTCTTATTGGGCTCTCTGATTACTCCGTGTTTAGAATTGACCCGAGAGCAAAGGTTAAGGTTGTTGAGTCGAAAGATTACAAAACAAAAAACAGCTTTAACTGTGGAATGGCTACAAGCTCTGGACATGTTGTCACAGCGGGGAAGGGGGGAGATTTGAGGCTTTATGACAAGATCGACAAAAGAGCGAAGTCCCTTCTTCCGGGATTTGGGGATGAAATCAAGTACATAGATGTCACAAGCAATGGCAAGCATATTATCTGCACGTGCAAAAACTACCTAATGCTGACAACTGTACCAGGAGACTACAAGCAGCCTGTCGGAAAGAATAAGCCAGTTCCAAAAAGACTCCAGTTGAAGCCCGAGCATTTGGCATACATCAATGAGGAAATAGACTTTACGCCTGCAAAATTCAGCACCGACGCATCAGAGAGCAGCATAATAACAAGCACGGGGAGCTATGTGGTTAAATGGAATCTGGACGACGTACTCAATGGGAGGCTGTATTCATACCAGCTCGCCAAATGTAGTGACCTAGTTGTTGCAGACAACTTTGAGTTTGGAGAAGATAGCAATGTCATTGTGACCATGCCTGATGACATAAGAAAAGTCAATGTTCGCAATCTTAAGAAGCCTGGAAGGAAGATGTGGGGATGAGGGTGTATTTATGATAAATAAATGTTTTTGATATTCATTTGGAAAGGATTTGATCACCCCGAGCATGGCTCTTAATCCTGTCAAGTTTGAGTACAATGAAAACTACACAAGAAGTATGCCAAGAACTTTCAACAAGGCCGAGGTAGTGCTTACCGATACGGAGTGCACCCCTCGAAAGTTTGTGTTTCCCTGTACTGAAAGCATTGAGTACCGTACAGCCAGAATAGTCGAGGTTGAGAAGCTCGGTGCCAGTTGGAGAGATGTTTATCGTATAAAGTTCGATGAGAAGCTTCATTTTAAGCCGGGAGATTCTATTGGAATGCTGTGTCCCAATAGCGACGACTTAGTGGACGAAATCATGGAGATTCTTGGGGTCAGGGATTCTGGATGCCAAATAAAAAGGCCTGGTAAGAATCCATTCAGCTACACGGGGACCATCAGGGACTTTTTCAAATACTACTTCGACTTCACGGGTCTTCCGAAGAAGTCCTTACTGGCCAACTTGGCAAGAAGCTGCACGGAAACGAATCGCAAGTACATTGAGTACATGTGCTCCAAAGAGGGGGTAGTAGACTACCTTGGCATTGGAAAGAAGTGGAACAACATTATTGATATTATAAAGACCTTTGGGTGTAAGCCCACGCTAGAGGAAATTGTAGGGGAGTGCGAGATAGTAAAGCCCAGATACTTTTCACTGATAAATAAGATCGGAAGGGAGTCTGAGATTCTTGTTGGCATAACAAGTAAGACCTTCGAGGGGTTTGTGAGATATGGCCACGTCTCTGACTTTATAGTTAGGTCTAAGGTGGAGGAGGTTGAACTGTGCTTAAGAACAAATCTCCTTTTCAGAATGGACTACAGTAGCAGAAAGCTGCTGGCCATATGCACAGGAACAGGAATAGCGCCTTTTATATCATTTGCATCCAATCTCCAGTCGCACCAAAGCATCTGGATCATATACGGATTCAGGAACGATGAAGATGACATTTCCAAGCTAATAGAGCCCAACAAGAGAATAAAGATCACGGGAGTCAAGTCTAGCACAGGAGCTTATGTCACAGACTATCTAATGGAAAGGATTGATGAGGTTAGAGAGTATGCTGATGGGGAGTGTACTGTCTATGCATGCGGGAAGATGGAGATTCAGAAGCGGATCTTTGAGATATTCAGAAACGAGCTTCCTTATATTGTAGAAGCCAAGCGGTTGGTTTTTGATCAATGGGGATAAGACCCTGTGTCTTATTACTGCGGCTTGAAAATTCAACCATAGAGCTTTTATTTATTCAGAGGATACCCAGCAGTCTTTGAGATAGTACCTATCGCTATTGCCAAGATGAAGATGGCGATAGAGAGTATGATAACAAACATATTATACCCTCCAGTTACCTTTTCTGCCCCAACATAGCCATCCAACGAGGAAAAACAAACCTGCTCATTCATAAAGCCCACTCCTGTTATTGGTACATCATACACTTTCCTTTTCTTACTTAAGACACATTTATCAAACACGTAGATATAGCCATCGGCTGTTCCAACAGCAGTTCGCTGGCCCTCACATGACATTGTGGTGATCTTTGGAATGTTATAAACCTTCTCATGGTCTCCCTGGAAATACAGGCTGGAATCTTTCCCTTTCAGATAGTAAACAAGCATCCCGTTAACATAATCTATTCCTCCGATCTTCTTTTCATAAGAATACTTTTTTGAGTTATATACAAAATTGTATCTCTCGTCCTCGTGCACAATCTTATGAGCCAATCCAGCAGTTATAAAAAAACCCTCCCAGTTACTGACTATGTCTGATTTTCCTTCTTCTCTTTTCAAGACAATCCTCCCATCTTTTCTGAAAGGCCTGTATATATATTCTTCGTGTGATTCATCACTGAGCAAGGATCCATTTGCCTTCTTTCTTTTTCTTTCTGGCTTCAATAAGTCGTCTAATGAGTCTGGCGTGTTGATTACATCGTAGAAGCCATATAGCTTTTTATCGCTGATCACATACAAATCCTTAACAAAGATTTGTGAGGACACCTTTTTTTTCATTTTCTTAACAAGTGTTATGCCAGATCCATTAAATCTAAGAAGATAAAAGAACTCTTCTCCACAGGCAGTGAGATACAGCTCTGGCCTCTTTTCCTCGCCTTTAAGGTCATTATCAGCATCTCTACTGCAAATACCTGAGGCATTGCATCCAGTTTCATCTAGGCTGGAAGATTCATTCTGAGTATCCTTTGGGTTCTCCTGGCTCTTGGTAGGCGAAACAACGCTTGCCTCCTCGTCGTACTCATCCCATGACATGTCGTCTTCATCTACTTGGTGAAATTCGTCCGAGGTGCTGCAAACAGCCACATTTACAATGATATCCTCTGTGGAATAATAGCACACCTCCTTAAGGTCCTTCCCTTCTAGAACCTTGACTCCGTTGCTCTTTCCAAACTCTTTTTCTCCACCACCACCTCCTGCAATGACGAATCCATCTTTCACTCGTAATGTAAATACAGGAAAGGAAAGTCTCATTTAATGGGTTAATAAAAGACGAACAAAAATCCCAAAATACCTTTAATCCACTTCTATCTCACATCCCTAGAATACAATCTCTAATTCTCTCTCTTATTGAGCCGAGACTGGACCTGTCCACTCTCCCATCATGAATTTCAACACCAGCAGCATTGTAGTTCTTCATGTAAAGACTGCCCGGAGTACCCCTCCTGAAAAAGTAGAATGTTGGTATGGTGTTGAATATTTCTCCTACGTCTTTTATGTTCCATCTACTCACCTGCCACTTGGTTCCATCAAGAAATATACACACAACTCTTTTCCAGTCCTCAGACGTGAATCTTGCCACGTCATCCACTGCAGTAAGCTTGTGCCCATCAATGCTTAGCTCCACCTTCTCAACCTCACTAATCTTGATCCCATCGGCACATCTACCCTCTTCAAAAAATTCTTCGATATTACTCAGGTTTACAGGAGAAGAAACAGACTGAGGAACTATGACATAGTAGACCGTTGGCCTATTTTCGCCTTCTTTCTTGCAAAGATCACTCAGATAATTGTAGTCTCGAAATCCGATGTATCTGAAATCCGGTCCATCAATCTTCGCCTGAGCAGTCGTCTCCTTGAAGTTTTCTATCTCTTCCACAATAATCTTCTGGTCTGTATAATATATCTTTCCTATTCCGCTTTCCCTACACAGTGTCATATATACAGTGTACTTTTTATCTTTGTTCAGCAAATAGAACAGAACTTGCTCAAACGTATATTCCTTTGTCTCTGTTCCCTTAAATTTAATAGTCTTCTTGGGAGAAACCTTCTTCCCACCGATTGTTATTTCGTCTGGGCCCATTTCACATGCATCGGGCTCCCTAAGCGCTCTCTTCAGCAGATCCATTCAAAAGGGCACTTTTGAAGAGCTTTTTATTCAAGGCCTTCTAAGAAATACCTTAGGCTCCTTCCATAGTCAAACCAAAGTACTTTATTGGCAGTAGTGGATGAATGATCCTTGCATCATGCTCCACTTCTCAGGCTTTTGTTAACAAAGTAATCATCCAAGACCTCTCCATCAACAACCCCACGGTCCTTCAGTTCCAGAACACGAGGATGGAGTGCATCTAGATTAAAGGGCGGATCAGCAAATAGGTTGCTAAGAAGTCTCACAAATGTAACGGCTTCCTTTTTGTCCCGGGGAGTAAATGTAAACAGAAAGGATAGGTCAAAAATGTACTTGTGGACCATAAAGTATCTTATCAAGTCCAATGCCATAAACTTCGGCCCACTGTTGATTAGCATCCTTATTTCCTCTTCAACCTTGTCGTTATCATCAATGCTTGGATTCTGAAGATTGTCTAAAATGTGTGGGTATGCATATTGGTGCTCGTCCTTAACCTTGTTGAGCATCGATTTGACACCCTCTGTATTGATTCTTGAGTATATTCTAAATTCCTTAGCAGAAACAAAATTCTTGTTAATGAAATCGACAATGTCATCCCTGAACTCGTCTCGAAGTCTGTTTTCCCTCAGGAACTTTTCTGCAACCTCATAGACGTTTTCGTTGTTATTGAACGAAAGGGTGTAGTACTTGTTTTCTAGCTCAACCTGGAATGTATTATCATAGGGCTTGGATCCTTCTCCTTTGCCAAGGAGAATCCACTCTCCGTTTATTTCTTGATACACATTCCCATTAGCAGCCTTGAACTTCTGTCCGTCAGACACAAACTCCCCGTCCTTTAATAGGGATCCCTGCTCATTCCTCATTTCCTCAATGGCCTTTCTTGCTTCGGATGAAGGATTCGAGGAGTACACATACAACCTCCCATCACTTCCTCCAACATACACTTTATCATTCCACCCAAACCCGGCCCAGCAAGACGTCACAGGTATAGATAAACTCTGAATTGGCTTGAGACTTTCGTCAAATATAATAGCCGTCCCATTCTCCCCAGTACATATAACTAGGCCTTTGCCGTCACAGGTATAGGAAAATATGCTATACATAAAATTCTTCGTAGAATAATGCTTCAGGATCCTTCCATCCAATGATACCTTGAGAACTATCCCTTCATTGTCGATGGAAAAGATGTTCTCGTTCAAAACAGCAACTCCTCTGACATATGAAAGATGATGGTTAAATGTTCTAGTCAGAACTCCATTCTTAAAAATCCGGATCAATTTATCACTACACCCAGTCACAATGGTATTTTCATTAATAAACTTGGCACACCAAACAACTGTGGGGTGCGGCATCTTCTGCACTATCCCACCCTTGTCGTTGTTCATTTGTCTTGGCTCCCAAACAATCACTGTGCAATCCCATGAGCTAGAGACAATAAAATCTCCCATCGTGTCTAAACAGCATACATTCGAAGAATGGCCTTTTAAGAACCCCACAGGCACCACCTTTGTACCTTCTTCCTTGTGTCCATCCCTAAGCTGGCACTCGTCCAAAGAATATACAACTATGCTTCCATTCTGGCATCCTGCAAATAGGAACCCGCCTCCAATCGCAACACAGTTGACATATCCCTGCCCAGGCTCAATCTCTGTATACCAGCCAAAATCATGCCCACACACTCTTATCTTTCCTTCCCTTCCTCCACTAACAACTATATCATCCTTCACAAGAAGTGTTTTCACATCAGAAGTGCTTATCTTTTCAATTCTCTCTATTCCAATCATCCTGCCAGGGTACAAAAAGGTACATTTAATTCATGCTTTTACTTATTCCAGGAAACTGCACATTCCGACCTCAGTCAACTATCCCATGCTTTTCTTTGTGCTCCTTGCTGTACTCATAGTCAAAAAATAGCTCTTCTCCCTTGTCTATGTCTCTGCTCGCATAGAACCCTATTCTTCTAGTCCCGTTTACAAGTAAAATAAGTGCATTTAGGTTCGAATTCCTCTTCGAGTGATTGATGAATCTCGACTTGTTTCCTATGAATCTGGAATCAATGACATAAAAAGGCACTCCCTCTCTACTATATAGATCAAACAGATATGAACTCCTTCTTAGATCATAAAAGGCTCCCCTTCTCTCAGCTTCCTCGTTGCTTATTATTTCCCCCACATACTCAATAACAAGCTTGCCTTTCAATATCTTCTTTTGGGCAAACAAGCCGCGTCCTTCTATTTGGCTAGGCGCCACAAATGTTGGCTCGGCCTTGCCCATCTGTAAATCCTTATTTCCGCATAAATCACATGAACATATTCCCATGCACTCTCTCATTGCCTGTCTGCATGCACATTTGTTGCCACATGCATGCAAACACTTGCATCCCATAAAGAAGTTCTTGCAACCTATGCAAAGACACGACATCTCACAGTTAGTCCTATTGGAGACACATATGCATCCGTTGTCTTCCGTACAGTCTCCAAGGTGATCACATGGCGTAAAGAAGGCAGAGGGGTCTATGCCTCCTTTGTTCCTGTTTCCCACTACATACTTATGCCGTCCTATGAAGGCCGTACAAAATTCCTTTATTTCTTTGCATGGTATGTACCTTTTACATCTAAAGTAAAAAAGTAAGGAGGCTATGCATTCATAGCCCTGAGATGCCCAGCAGTCACTGTAAAGATCGCTATATGTTGCCTGGTCTATCTCATTTCTTGTGATACCTCCGTGCAGGCTCTTCATTTTCCTGCATATACTCCCGCAGATTTTTCCGGACTCAGGTTTTAGCACTGATGGGCTGCTCTTAAACCCCACAGGCTTGATACAAATTCCGTTTGTCTTGGAATGCCATCTACATCCAAATATAAGGCACACATTACAAAATAACCTTCTCATTTCTAGCAGTTCCTTGTCTTTGGCATCCATCTCACTACATCTTGACTCGCTCGTAGCATCAAATCTATTGTAAGATATCTTTCGAGATTCCTTTATACTGTATGGACGTTGCTTTTCGAATGGTTTTATCTCCTTGAATTCTGTCAGGTTCACAAGACCAAACGCCCCTGGTATGCATGGGATAAACCTTAGAGCAGGATCGTCCTCTCCTCTTATGCTTTTATTTGTGAAAATAAAGAAGGCACCTCTTGTATCCGGCTCTATTCTTGGAATCACTATCTTCCCAATTGAAGGTTGGAAACAGCCTGTCTCAGGACGCCTCTCTGAATCCAAATCAGGGAAATTTTCACTCCCTACTACCACTCTCTTCATTTTTTTCTTATGTTCAAGCGCACCATGAAGTCCTGGTGCTTGGGCAGGTGCCACTTTGTCTGATGACTTGTTTGTGTCATTCCTCGAACCCATGGCAAACAAGAAGCGTCAAAGCTTTGAACAGGAGTTCATCGACTCATTTGTCAGCGACGAAGTCATTCACTGGAAGTTTGACCCGATTCTTCTTGACGACATTCTAAAGGATAGGATAGGCCAAGAAGAGTAGGATATTAGTCGAGAATTCTTCTCCCCAAAATGCCTGTGAGCACCTGGCCAGCCCCTCCGAAATTCAAGAAGAAGACACCTCCACAAATACCATCTTCATATACAAGCTTCGGAACAAGCTACAAGGTGGAGAATGGTGTCCCTGTAAACACGTCGTTCCCCTCGGTGAGGTTTGACAAAGAAAGGTTCAAGGAGCTCATAAATCTCTCCTTCTCCACGTTCATCGAGCTACTAACATTCCCACTTGATCATGAAGAGCTAATAGAAGCTATAAGCAATGCACATCTTGAAATCAACCAAATTCTCAATGGAGGAAAGAAGATGGAGGCCATATATGAAATTAGAAGAATTAGGAACGATCACACAAGAAATAAAAATAGGATTGCAGAGGAAACTCGGAGAAAAGTAAGAGACTTCAAAATATAAGCCTACATATTTATAGGATATACAAACATCAAGTTAGATCTATTGCCATAAGATGGGTGTTCTCAAACAGAACAAACATCCGATTCTCAACCACACAGAAATCCTGGATCTTTTCCTTTTTAATGGACTCCAATATTTTAGGGTGTGAAATAAAGCCGATGTCGTTCATGTCGAACATAACTATATCGTGTGGTTCCATTAAAGCCACCAGAATATCTCCACTTATATCAAACTTCCGGAATAACCGCCTCTTCAATACGATTTCCCCAGCAAGCACAACTTCTACAGAAGATTTCGCTTCTTCGTATTTCAGGGAGACTGCATGAATTTTTCTTTCCCCAGAATAGAATATAAGAAGCTCTCTGTAAAACCTTACACATTCAATAGGAAATTTGCATATGTCTGTGGACGAATAAATAGGGGATATGCACTCTAGCTTGTTCAGGTTCGATGGAATTCTCCATATTTTTATCGAACAATCTGTTCCGCAGGATGCCAGATACTTCATATCACTACTTACGTCTATTGATAAGACATAGTCCTTGTGCCCACTGTAGCCTCCAAATATACAGACACATGTCAATCCTGAAACATTCCACATCTTTATTGTTGTATCTTCGCTACAACTCAGCAGATATTCGTTTCCATATCTTTTGATTGAAGAAATGCACCCTCCATGGGCTCTAATGTGCCCTATAAATGCCCCCTTGGACAGGTTTATTATTTTTATGATGCCAAGCCTGCCTCCAAGTGCTAGCAAAACATCATTTCCTGCCATAAAGAACTCACTGCACTGAAACTCTTCGTCGGGATGCTCGTCAAGAACCCTCTGAGCGATCTTGAGGTCGTCTCCATATGATATGATTGCCGAGGTTCTTTTCCCGACTAGCGACACTATTCTGCATTTACCGTAACTGCTCATAGATTCGAAGCATGCATTTGGTATTTCAATTACCGAAGACATGGGGTAGTTAAGTGGGCACAACACATTATTTCCAGACATCGAAAGCATGGAACCCATTCAGATCAATCGATACAGATGTCCATCCGGGGATCTCCTGTTCTTTTTTTACTACTGTTAAAAGATGTCCTCCGCAGCCGGCACCCGTTATCTTTGCCTCAATACCAATCTCTCTCATTTTATCTATTATGTCCTTTATCTCTCTAGGGCAAACCCCCAGTTCATCTAACAGGTCTTGGTTCTTCCTAATGAGTCTGTACAGTTCCTCCAAGGTAAACTCTCTTTGTAAAAGTTTGTATGCCTCTTCTGAAACTTTTCCTATTTCGCCGTACAACTCTTTCTTGCGCCTCCCTAGCCTGATGGCAGACTCTGTGTTCTTGGGTATCCTAGTGTTGAAGATGAGTATTTTGAATTGAGAAAGGTGGTGAATAGAAAGCCTTTCAACAACGCCTTTTCTAAAGGAGATCAACCCGCCGGTATAGCAGGCCATCACGTCAACGCCAGACGCTTTTCCATGGAATGCATTCTCCATTTCAAGAGCTTCCTCTAATATATCTGGACTGCGGGCCTTGGCATATGATAACAGAAGCGATATGGCTGCACTTGTGCCCAGACCACACCCCAATGCGGCATCCAAAGACAGAGTCAAACGAAAGCCAGGAATGGCGTATCTCCATTTCTCAAATAGGTCCATATAATTACCTTCTGCATCAACAGCAACAGCCTCAGTGCTCTTAGAAGACTCAATTGTTAGATATCCATATACATCTACTGCAACAGCAAGGCATCTTTCTCCTGATAATACGGCATGCTCACCAAACAATATTACTTTGAGAGGAGATCTAGCCAAATGTGCCATCTAGAGGGGCTCCTCGAGTGGCATTGTGATGAAGGACCAAGACACCGATGGATCCAGCTATGAGATTCCTACTGGTCTAGTGGTTAGGATGTCTGCCTTTCAAGCAGGAGGTGGGGGTTCGATTCCCCCGTAGGGAATTTCCTTTTTCCTTCACCCCGGAAGGAACAGACCTGAAAACAAAAAGCTAGATGTAAATATATAATCCAATTTATTTCCATCAGGCATTCTCCGCTTTAGAAATACCAGAGTAATTAAGAAACGTTCCGGGCATATATTCACTCATCATCAAGAGGTATATTGAATCCAAGCGGCTCAAACAGATATCCTTTTCCCCTAAAGAACTTCGAATGAAATTCAACCCAATTGAGTCTCATAGCATGAAGGCATGATCCAAGACCTTCCATTCCAATAAGAAGAACAAGAGTTCCAACGACGTAAATACCAGAAAGTGCAACAGGCATAATGAACCCTTCCTTCCCTATCGTAAACTCGTGCAAAACCCTGGTAAGCTGAGCATGGGCAAGAGAAACTGCCCATAGCCTAAGATACGAGGAAGTATTGGAAATGAGTCCAAGGCCAAACTCAACGACGTGGATAAATTGATTGATCCATAGGCTTGAAATCTCTTCTCTTTTCACCATATTCTTGGACATCATGTATATAGGCTTTCCTAACAACATCCAGGGAATGCATAGAAGCATCAAAAACAATAAGAAGAGCTGCACCCGATGCTGATAAGGATAGATCTCTTCAGTGACAACGAACGGGTTCGTAAACATGTTTACAAGAACCCCGATTATCGACGGATAGTTGGATGTAACTAGCCATTTGTAAATTATCAAGAATACCATGTATCCAACGAATGAGCAGAAGACAATTGTCTGAGGAACAAGCACACCGTATATCTCCACAGGCTCGTTGAAGTATATCGCATTCAGGAAGGAAATAACTACTCCCAGGCTCATGTGTAGAAACCCTATTATTATCGACATCTTCATCTTCATAGAATTGAGAAAGACCATTTCATTCTTGGAGTGGTGCCACATGTGGTCAACTCCAAATGGATAGGTTCGATTACTGTCTTTGCTTGAAGAGAATAGAGGAATCGCAAGAGACCCAAAATCAGAGTATAGAAGCCCAAAGAACATGGCTCCAAGCGAGAACGAAAAGATTATGTACTTCCCACTTACAATCATCTGTAAGGTCTCGGAACAATTCTTAAACTTCTTTGAGTTCCTTATCAGATACATCGATAGGCAGAGAAGCAGTAACCCGTGAAACACATCCCCAAACATACATCCAAAGAGCATAGGAAAAGTGAACAGTGTAAATACGGCAGGATTGATTTCTCCATACGACGGGATTGCATAGGTATTCGTGAGAATCTGAAAGGGCTCCGTAAACTCGTTTGTCTTAAAGTATGTGGGCGGCATCTCCTTGCTTTCTGTAACTTCAAATGCAAACAGACTCGTTCCGTCCCCTTTAATCTCATTGATCCTTTTCAGCTTGTTTATGTTCTCTCTGAGAATCCAAGCCTCCCCCACAAGACAATCCCGATCAAAGTCGAAGCTGAGCTTGTTGAGAGTTTGATATATCTTCATTTCCTTGTTTAGATAATATCTCCAGGTATTTGCAAGATGCCTGATCTTTTCATGCTCTTTTCCTATTGCTTCATCATTATGATCTTCAATCTGTTGCATCTGGCTTATAGTTGCACTCAGCTCAAGCAGCCCTCGCTTGCACTCCCTGAACTTCTTATGGTCAAGTATCCTCCCTCCCAGAGAGGAAAATATGTCCTTAACCTTCTCCAGTGCCTCACTCCCATGTGCAAACACAATAAATACAGCCTTTGTTCCGTCCTCAACATCCCTTGTCCTTATCACTAAATTTCTTCGCAATGCCTGGTGAAGTACCTTTCTTATCAAGAGCTTTTTACCTTTCTCGACTATCCCGGTCATAAAATCAAACTGGACAAGATGCGCTTCCTCCGTAACCGTTCCAAGGAAGTTCTCGGTCTCCTCCAGCATGTACAGATCCTCCTTTAACTTGGTTTGATTCGTATTGGTCTCCTTCTTTATCGACTTCAGTTGTGTCAACCTAGAAAAAAATTTGTTAACCTGCTCCTCCACCTGATCTATGTCGCTGTGCTTGATTCCCTCGTCAACCTCGTTGACATCTCCAGTTAGATACTGTAGTCTCGAAATGAGTTTTTCCATGTGTGTTATTTCTCTGGTATATAGCAGATTCTCGCTCTTGATGTCCTTATTAAGATCTTTGAAGTGGAGCAGCCCGTTCTTTCCTATCTCGGTAATTGTTTGCTTTGCTGTGTCCTTGCTGAAATACATCGACACTAAACACATCTTTTCACTCCTTAGCATGATTATTTTGTTTGCTTGTCCTGACGAAATTAGGGAAGAGCTTTTATTTACTTTGTTTCAAATTTACAAATCTTTACCTCATGGAGAAATCGAACAAATAAGGACATCTATTCTTCCCTTACCGTTTTTGGCAAGGGGCCGAAATAAGTTTGCACCTTGGGCCGCATGCAAGAATAGACTGCCATTTTAAGCCCATTGTACCCATTTCTTAGCATGCCGATGGAGAAAGAGCTTTCAGTAAAATGGGAGGAATCTAAGAGCTGTGCAAAAACAGTTCCGAGGAAAATAGAAAGGCCAAATATCTCAACGCTGGATTTTTGGAATGAGGATGCAGGAAATCCTCTTCATTCCGACAAGGATCACGACGATTCAACAGATATGGATGCATTCTTCACTTCCACAGACCATGCAATAAGTACGAAAGAAAAGGAGATTTCTGTGTATTCGAAGTTTACAATAAGGGATATCAGGAAAATCAAGGATTTCACGGTGTTAATAGGAGATGACATTGAATGCCACTTATCCGGGGAGTGGCGCGATATTGAATATAAGGTAAACAGCCGTGTCACTGTTCTTCGCTGCATTTGCTGCTCGGAGAAGGATGAAGCCTCTGATGTTGATTGTCTGGATGAAGTCTTTGAATCTGAATGTGAGGAATGTTCCTCTGAATGTGGGAAAGAAAACACAGAGCAGAGCACCCAAAGGAGCAAGATTTTTGTCACAGATACGAGAAACTATCTCGTGGTGGAGGACAATCCTGTTGCCATTACCACACTGTCTGAATCTTTAGTTTGCAGAAACAGGCGCTATGTAAACGCGAAGATCGCTTCAATAAGGCTTTCTCACACAGACGCAAGAGTTTTTATTGGAGTCATAGTTCATTTTATCATGGAAAGGGCCTTGATGCATAAAAACTTCGCTCATGACTTCTTGATAAGCCAGGCAAAGAAAGGGATTTCTGAGAATGTCATGCTAATGTATAAATGTGGAATCGATGAGAAGACGGCCCTCAACGAAACATTGAAGCTTATAAGGAACATACACATGTTTAAGGACTATAGATTTGAGACAGTTGAGACGGAGAAAAGGCTCATGTCTCTTTTATTCAATATCAAAGGAGATGCAGATGCAATTGGAATTGATAAGGTTTTAGAGATCAAAAGCGCCAAGTCGCAACGGCCAGAGCACCGTGCACAGGTGATTCTCTATGCCCTCATGCTCAAAGAAAAGACGGGAAGCGACTTCTCCCCATACCTATATTACATTCCTGCTGGCGAGTTGATTGAGGTCAAGCTAAGGCACCAGGAAATCAGGAGTCTGCTTAATCTTAGGAATAAGATTGCCGTATTCAATGAGTCTTGCGAATGTCTGTGTGAAGACTACAGCTGCAGTGCCTTGCTGAAAATAAAAGGACTAGAGAAAACACACTTTCTGAGAAGGCAGCTGGAGGCAATAGACGAAGAGGAGGAAAGAGCGGTAGAATCTTTTATTCCTGCAACTCTCAGATACCAGAGGAATACGTTGATAGGACTGGATATTCAGGGCGGGCTTCCCCCGAACAACATATATCTGACCCTCTTCAGCTCTGATCTTGTAAAGATTTCAAAAGGAATTGTCGAGGAGACCAATGGAAACAAGTTACTAGTAAGGCTAAATGAAGAAGTTCTTTTCAAAAAAGAGGAAAGGATGTATGTGTCTTTTGGGGCCTCTGATATATTCTTTAGGTTCATGAGGTTCTCGCTTATCCACATTGCATATCCAAGATATTGCACGCCTGAAGTTATCGGGGGGTTTGTCCTGCCTATGGAGCAGAAGGGCCTTGGAATAGATGATGAGTCCAATGAACCAAGCCTGAGTGATGTGAGCTCCGTGCTGACCGAGGAACTGAATGAATGCTTTGAGAGTGATAAGGAGACTCTAGACAGCGATAAAGAAGAAAAGCAAAGGAAAAGACTCCGAATGAATGAAAATGCCGAGGACAAGGCCTTTTCGAATATACCAGGATCTTACAAAAGCTATGCGTTAGACGAAGACAAAATCTCAATACCTGAGGTTTTTAGAGAAGAATTCTTAAGACTCAATGATGACCAGCGTTCTGCACTATTCCTATCATTGAATTGCAAGAACTATAGAATTATACATGGGATGCCAGGAACGGGAAAAAGTACTCTTATATGTTTGTTGATAAAAATCCTTGTCCATCTCAAGAAAAAGGTTCTTTTGATATGCTATACAAACCTTGCCTTGGCAAATATTACAAAGAAACTGAGTGGAATCAGAATATACACTGCTGGGAAGGAGGGATTCTTCTTCAAAGCCACCACCGAGGCCAAGGTATTCTTTGAGAACATAGAGCTCGTTGTAGGAACGTGTTTCTCGTTTTCAGATCCTATCTATGTAAACAGGCAGTTCGATTTTTGTGTTGTTGATGAAGGTTCTCAGATGCATCTTCTTCTAGCATTGATACCGGTAAGCATTTCTACAAAATTTGTAATTGTGGGTGATCATCTTCAGCTAAAACCTCTTTCGAGAAGCTCCAAGGAGCTAAGTCTTTCTCTTTTCGAGTATCTTCTTGGGGAAGACTATTCTAAGCTCCGAATTCAATACAGAATGGGAAATGAGATAATGAGGCTGTCGAACACGCTGTTCTATAATGGTGAGCTCGTTGGCAAGAAAAGGCCGTCCTCTGTTGAGTTTATTGACACGGACATTGTAGACTTTATATCGCTAGTGCCTTCCTTCGAAAAATGCACAATTCTCTGCTACTTTAATGCGCAAGTAGATTTAATAAGGGAGAAAACCAGGTGTGCTGTGGAGACTGTAGACAGGTTTCAGGGTAGTGAGGATGACAAGGTTGTTGTTGTTTTTGACCCTGTTTCCAAGTGTGAGGTGATGGAGAGTTCCGAGAGGCTCAATGTTGCTCTGACCAGGGCTAAGAAGCACCTTGTCCTTGTCGGTAGTAAGTCTAAAATGTCTGAAATAGATATACTGAAGAAGCTCATAAGTATTCTGTAAAAATTACTGAGCCTGATTAGTTTTACCTCGCCGAGATTGCCCTTGAGCTGTGAGCATGTTGTTTTATGAGTTTTTCAGATCCAACATAGGAAAACGAATCTTCGTGATGCTGAAGGCTGGAGTATATGTATCTGGGGTACTGAGCAACATAGATCCATACCTCAATCTAAGCCTTTTGGAAGTGAACATACTTAGCAATCATCCTGGGCTGGATAGTATTTCTGTGTGTTCTATACGGGGCTCGTCGATAAAATATGTCCTTGTTGATAAGGACTCTACTCTGCTGCAGGGAGTGAATGCTGGGAGTAGACTCAGAATGATACTTGATAAATGTTACTGAATGTTGTGTGTATGGCATCAATAAATATCATCTCTCTACAATGACTATTTGTTTCTCTTACCTCTAGCCCCATTTATTCTAGTTTAATGAAAGACTGCAATAATCAGCAACTAAGGGAATCCGTTGCCGCTATGAAGAATTTTGTGCAAGAGCATTTGAACAAGGGTGTAGCATCATCAACCTGTGAGGAGATTTATCAGGTCTCGTGGCGCATGGCTAGGCGTAAGTCATGCAGGAAATCCTTGAAGGTAATAAGAAGGGCATCTAAAACCTTTGTAGACGGATCGATAGAAAAAGCACGCGAAGTAGATTCTCTTAGCATAGGGAAGTATCTGTATGATTTTAACTTCCATTGGAGCAGAAGCATGGACCTTTTCAGCAAGGTGTTTAATCCTATTGCACCTGTCGAAAAGAGGTTTATTGCCAGGCTATCTCCGAGGCTATTTGCACGGCTTGTGAAGGGGATTGAAGATAAGATAGTGGAGTTTTTAACACATAATATAAAAGAGGAAATAGAAGGCAAAAGAAGGATCAAAAAGCCAAATGAGTCAGCTCCCAGAGTCTGGGAACATCCTGCCTGCAAGAAGCAAAAACTGAATCAAAGTAGTGCCAATGAGCCAGGCAATAAACACTGTGAGAAGAAGATGCCTGACGAGTTTGAGCTACTTTGCAGGGAGAGACAGATTTCTGTTATAATCTGCATACTTCAGGATAGGGGATGTTTTGATATGTTTTCAGAAAGGATTATTGAGTGTTTGATTTCAGTTTTCAGCTCGAAAATATATGATGAGAATCTGGACATACTGAGCATAAAAGATCTCATTGATAGGTACAGGAAAGTTGAATATATGAAAGGTTACTTCTATGCAGTTGAATCTGGCCTTATGCGTAGGGTAGTTATGAATTATACGAGTGAGGAAGTTTTTGGCATGCTGAATAGGGAGGATGAAATGAGGCTGTGTGTAGGCTTTTTCTGTGCATCTGGCTCTGAGAAAAGGCTTATGGAAGTCATCGATATGTACTGTAAAGAGGTTATCAAGAGCCTTTCGATTGATAGATTTATTGAAGGATACTATTGGATCTACCTTAAGTTCAAGGAAATAGAGGAAGATAATAGGGACGATTGGTATCAAAAAATTAGGAAGGGGATTAAGAGATGCAAAAAGGAAGTTGTGAACACCAATGCTGACTGTGCGATTGAGAGTATCTGCGCGTGGACCGATTCCTTACTGAGAGGAAGAATAACGATTAAAGAAGACATTATTGAGGGAATGGAGCACAGAATTCGTGTCCCAGGAACTAATAAGGAGGACAGGGTAGACACGAGGAAAGTTTTGAAAAGTACAGGGATGGTGGAAGTCAATTTTGAGGGCAGCGTATGGAGAGAATTTCTTCTGTCAAATATTTTTGAGATGATTGGAGAGATTTTCCATTTTTGTGACAATAAGGAAGTATTTGAAACGGCTTTGCGAAATAAATTGGGAAATAGGCTTATTTCGCGGTCTTCAGTGTCTACACACTTGGAAAGCCTGCTGATAGACAGAATTGATCCGGGAAAAACCCAGCTGAACAAGATGAGATGTATGATAAAGGATTTCACCGAGAAAAAGCTATTTATGGGACACGAGATTTTACTTCTTCGGTCATGCAAATGGCCTAGATACGAAGAAGCTAGTCTTGGGATTCGAGACGTGGAAGAGATCAAGGAGAGATATAAGGAGGTGGAGAAAAATAGAAGAAAGATAGTTAGATGGAATGACCTGCTTTCGTCCTGTGAGATTGAGTTCTTGGGACGTACGGTTACGGTTACTTTGGCCCAGTACCTTATTATAAAGCTTTTGGCAGAGAAGGATAGAGACATTGAGAGCTTGAAGGTATGCAAGACTTGGAATGAAAATCTTGAAATTCTAATGAAGAAAGAGCTAGTGAGAGTCGAGGAGGGGAAGTATTCCCTAAACTTAGGATTTTGGGAGGAAAATTCCTCCGTGGAATCATTGATTCCTCATAGCTTTGCATTACAGGGACAGCCTGAGGCTACAAGAATACCTGATGGGCTGGAACCTTATAAGGATCTTCTTGACTGTAAAATAGTAAAAGAAATGAATGCAAACAAGATACTAAGTAAGAGCAAGCTCAGAGAGCTTCTTGGGCAATGCCATCCATCGGAAATGTTCGATGAAAGAATAGAAAGCCTGGCGAATAGAGAGTTTTTAAGTATTGAAGGAGAAAACATAAAGTATTTGCCATGATACCCAGGAGCTCTGCTTTTATAGAATACTCATTGGACCCTTATTTTTTGCAAGGGCCAATCAAGAATCTCTGAATTCTAACACTGCTTTCGAAATTATTTGATAAAAATGTTTTTCCCTTGGAGAGTTCAATGGACTTAGATGCTCGAATTAAAAAGATAATGGAGGAGGCCGGATGCTCATACGACTTAGCAAAAAAAGCCGATCAAGAGGCACAAGGGAACCTGCATGCGGCTATAGAGATGGCCAAGAAGAAGGGCAATGTTTTGTACTCTGGGGGACGAAGCGGGCTTTATGTCGAAGAAAGCCCACAGAGAAAGTCAATAACACAATACAAGAATGGCATTCTGGTAGAAAACAAGTTCTACGATTTTTCGGTAAATGACAATATTAGACTCAAAGAAATGTTAGAGAAGGGAACCTTCGATGCATCTCTGCTTGGGTTGCATGGAGATACGGCGGAGGTTATTTATACAGAGAAGTTAGAGGAGGAATACAAAGAAGAGGCCAAAGCGCCGAAGATTGACACAAAATCTGCATTTGTAGGAGAGGGAAGGCGGATAGGCCGTTCCAATAGAGACATTCCCCATGCTAATATCGAGGATACACTAGAAATAGCCAAAGATGGAGATGTACTGTTCAAGGTTATGATTGGAAGCAAAAGGGTTACGGTCAAAATGCTAAGGTCACAAACAATTGGGGACTTCTTTGATTATATGGAAAGATACTATGACTTTGGACTCGTTTTGTCTACCAATGGAAAAGAGGTTCCTCCATCCCATAGTGTTGAAGAAATTGCAAACAAACTCGTTCTTCTCAGTAGAAGATGAGCCTGGAAAATACAATTAAATTTATTGAACTTGACAAGGTTTTCTCCTCAATTTTGGGACTGCCTGCATTCATACATGTACAAGATTTCCGCTTTGGCCTGGGAACCGAAAGTCCCTGCAAGCACTCCGGAGCTTGGTAACGTTATCTTGGCTAAAAGGAAAAGCAAGCGAGCTAAACACTTCGCAAGGGAGGAGGAGGCTTGCATACACAAGCTCTATTTCCTTATATGATTCTTTGTCTAAAAGAAGTATTTTGTCCATCTTTTGTACAGAAGATGCCCATAGTTTGTCGATACACAGGACAACACATTCTTTTCCATCGTAGACAAAGGGTTCTTCTCCATCGTTGTCTTCTGGGGTCTTGGCTGTGCCCATAGCTTCAGTTGCAATTCTAATAGCACCCTTTTCCTGAAGCATTGCAAGAACTCCATACATCCTGAGATACAGGCTTGGAAAATGAAAATTATAATCCAGGGCCTCAAACATCTCTGACTCGTAGTTCAAAATGCTTTCTTTATTGGACCCAGGAAGCTTCTTTATAAGAGCATCTATGCTTCCGTGTATCTCCTCACATTTAGAGGCAAGTATCACTATTGCATACACTACATCTTTCATTTCTTTTTCGTCTCTAAGTATTTTTCCGATGGTCTTGTCAAATATCTGTATGGATGTACTCCTCACCGTCATGGGTAGGCCCAAGTTTATGCATGCGTCCATGATATCCTTTCTGTACATTATAAGCTTTTCCGTCAAGCTTTTCATTAAAGGGTTGTAACATCACCGTTATATTGTTGCATCCTTAGATGAAATTCGTTTGTAGCACACATCTCCAATCTTAATCTAAGGAAAAATAGCTCCAAATCAAAAATACTATAAATCCTCAACAATAGTAACAAATAGGAACAGCCCAACAAAAGATAAGCGTCATTAGCCAAGTAGGATCCTTGTTTATTTCAAAAGTTTTCTGAGGTCGGAGTTAAGGTCCCCAGCTTTTTTCAATACCTTATGAACAGCCATTTCAAAGTCCTCTTGTGTCACGTGAACCCTCCTTTCTCTTAAAGCATACATCCCTGCCTCTGTGCATACAGCCTTAACCTCGGCCCCAGAGCATCCAACCATCTTTCCTGCTATGGCCTCGAGATCAATTCCCTTGGTAAGGTTCATCTTTCTAGAGTGGATTTTCAAGATCTCAAGCCTTGCAGACTCTTTTGGCTGGGGGAACTCGATCTTCCTATCAATTCTGCCAGTTCTTAACAACGCAGGGTCAAGGATGTCGATTCTATTAGTAGCCATGATAACCTTGATGTTGTTGTGGGATTCAAATCCGTCGAGCTGGTTCAGGAGCTCAAGCATGGTTCTCTGCACCTCACTGTCACTTCCTTTATTAGAGTCTCCTCTCGTAGAGCCAATAGAGTCGATTTCATCCATGAATATGATGGACGGTGCATGCTCTCTGGCCATAACAAAAAGCTCTCTTACTAGCCGCGATCCCTCTCCAATGTACTTTTGCACCAACTCAGACCCTGAAACCCTTATGAACTTGCATTGGGTATGATGTGCTACAGCTCGCGCCAACAAAGTCTTCCCTGTTCCAGGAGGCCCATATAAAAGCACTCCTTTGGGCTGTGCAATCCCGAGATTCTCAAATAGCTCTGGATGCTTTATCGGAAGCTCAATGACCTCCCTGATCTCCTTGATTTGCTCGTCAAGCCCCCCTATCATTTGATATGTGGAGTCTGGAACCTTCTCAACCATCATAAGCGATACAAGTGGGTCCACCTTTGTGGGAAGTATCCTGTGGACATCATACGAATCACTACGGAGAGCCACCCTCACTCCAGGTTTAAGATCATCATAGTTTACCCCATGCTCTACCTTTACCAAGTATTTACCATCTGGATTTGTTTTCACCAGGACTTGCATCTTTCCCATTTTTTCCACAACTATTCCAACATTGGAACTGGGCTCCTGTACAATAGATATCTCTTCTCTAAGAAACCTGACCCTCCTGTTCAGCTCTGCTCGCTTCTGTTCTAGAACTCGAAGCACCTTGGCTTTCTTTGCTATGAGCACTTCAAGGTGATCCAGCTTGTTACTGTAGAAGTTTTTGCAAAATCCCTCAGACATCCTCAAGGGATTACATTAGCATTGGATTTTGATTTGGAAAACAAACCAACCTTATAAGAAGGGGAATTTCTGGTTGTCTTACGAAGGCACATACGAGGTAAAGACATGAAGAAATGGTCTACATAGAAGCTTTATTCTCATACACCATCCCATATCAGCAGAACAGCGCATCCAACTCATATGTCGGCTGAGTTAGCTTAGTGGTAGAGCATGGCGTTGTGGCCGCCAAGATGCGGGTTCGATTCCCGCACCCAGCACTTTTGACATCACCAAAATTACATTTTTCTTTTGTTCATCCACAGATCATCTGACAACTTCCCAGGTATAATATCAGGGAGAACAAGTAAAGGCTTCCCAATCATTCTTCTTTTTAGCTCCCAGTATCTCAGTACTTTGGATATGTCTACGTCATGCCTGTCTTTTAGGTCGTGTATTTTTATCCTTGAAACGATAGATGGTATGGCTATTGGCTGCAAGCTGTTGAGCTTTGAGAACAGCGTGGGCTTGGGACATCCCATCGGGACTTTCTTCCTAATAATCGGTGGGTTGCGAAGTCTTTCGTAGCCAAACCTATTCGATGTGTTTATCTTTCTGTATCCTAGCTCGTATGGATTTCTCTTTGAGGGACTATGAAAGGTACAATAGGACAAGCTATTTCTCAGGTCAAAGTAACACTTGTCGAGAGCACATGAAACATGATATTTTTTAGGACATGCAAAATAAGAGCAGTGTATCACAGTTCCACGACCTTCGTCACAGAAAAAGCATCCAGACTCCTTTCTATACGAGCTGACATCAATAGGGTCCTTTGAAAGAGGATGCCCAAAAGAAAGAGATCTGTTGAATATGGCACATAGAACATGACCCCATTTGTTGTCAGATGTCTGTTTGAAGGCACCATTAGATGAAACACAGAATGAGCATTCTCCCAGGGATTCCCCATATATGCATTTTCTGCACAGCCAGAAGTTACTTAGATCTTGGATTCCGTAGCAATTTTCATGCACACATATTTCACATCCTTGGCACACAACAAGGGCCTCATCATTCTCTGACATGTACCTTGTGCAAATGTCACAAAAAGAAGATGGCTTTGCTTGCTTGACATGCCTTGCCACCAAGCCTCGTATAAAGAAGAACCACTCCTTTTCTAATCTGTCCATGATCAATTCAAAAATGCTTTCAGAAATATCTAGGTTTGATAAATGCAAATAGTGTCGATCGTAGGCATCTATTCTGTACAAAGTAGATTCAAAGAAGTCTCTTCTTTGCTCCTTTCTAATCGTTTGTTTTCCCTCTAACTTCTTACAAGGTCTGTAAACGCTGTCTGTGATGACGCGACGCATTCTCAGTAAGTCTATGTCGCGATATATGGATTTGTAGCCATGCTCTTCTCTTGGAATGCTCTTGAGTGACTGTGGAGTAGACATTTTTGGGTGGCAAAATTCCCCATAAGGAATGGAAAATTTTTTTTCTCGGCATGTGAGCATAGCCGAGATAGGCAAAGATGACTGGATCTATAGCAAAGGATACATTGCGAAGGGTACTGCCATTTATGATGATTCGGGCACAAAGATGCTTGAGATTCCATTTGTCCCAAAGCATTTCCATGCTTTAGCATTTGAGTACTTCCTAATAGACGAGCTGAACACAATATATCTAATCAATAAGAGCACGGGGGAAACTTCCGAAATTGGACGACTGAACAATGGGGTTAATGCTGTCAGTATATCCAAGGACGAGAATTGGTGTGTTATTATCTCTGGCAATGAGATTCTTCTTTTTGACACATATATTGACCTCAAGAAATCGATTGAGATTGATTTCGATGGCGTCATCCGAGTCGAATGGACGGACTATGGGCTTTTTGCAGTGCTAACCAGCAAAACGATATTCTTTTATGATACTGAACTCAATCTATTAGGAAAAAGTAAAGAGGGGAAGTATGTAGACATTTGCTGGAGAAGCAAATATAATATATTTGGATGTTCAACAGGAACAGATGTTCGCTTCATTGAGCCTAATGGGCTTGACCATGGAGACCCACTGGACGTACGATGCACTTCACTATCCTTTCTTGAAAATGAAGATCTACTTGTTACAGCTGAAAAAAATGCTCAAGGCTCCCTACTCAAAGTATTCTACACAAAGAATTTTCATTGGTATCTGAAGATTTCAAAGCAGGTGTCTGGTAGGTTTTTATGCATCGAGAAGAATGCAGTACTATTTGACGACGAAGAGAAGCTAGTAAGGGTTTTTTTGTTCAAGGAAAAGACATGCTGTGGGCCAGAATACTATGTAATTGATGGAAACTGTATACTCTACACGGATTTTTCAGAAAAGATCATTCCCCCTCCATTCTTCTCCACAAGAATTGACCTTGATAAAAACATTATTGATGTCTTTCCAGGAAAAAAAAAAGGCGCGGTTCTCCAGAAGGATGAGGTGACTATCTTCAGGTGGGAGAATGGTGACTTTGTGAGGGTAAAGACATTCCTTCTAAAAGAGGAGTTTGACTCTGTTTTACTGTTTGGCAACCTTCTCCTTCTGAAGGGCAGAAGCTCGTTTCTTGTCAAAGGAATGAGTGAAGAAAAAGAAATATACATAAATAAGAACTCAGAGACTGATGAGGGAAAATGGCCGAGCATTATAGGCACAGATAGTATTTGTAGGCAATTGCAAGATGCATTGAGGGGACCAGGAGGTATTGCCAAGTGCTATAATCTCAAGGAGAAATTGTGTCTGGTATTAGAAGATGGATCTGTCATCTACGATGGCACTAAGATATATTCTGGAGTAGATCTGTCGCAGAGGTTTGAGATAGTTATAGAGGAGGATACTTATATCCATAATGGGATGGGGCTTTGTATAAATGGCGAGATTACGGAGAATGTAGCTTCATTCTTAGTTGGAGAGCTTGGCATGATCACTGTATCCGAGGGTATGTGTAGGTTTCTCTTTGAGTCCAAAGAAAGTACTTGCCAGGTCGATCACAATCTAGAGCTTCTATGCGCCGTAGATTTCAGAGTGATTGGGATGACTAGACACGGGACACTTGAAACATACACCCCTAAGATTTATACACTAGCATTTGTGAAGAAGCTTTTGTTTGATGGGAAGTATAAGGATGCAGTAGACGGATGTCTGAGACATGTCGTTCCCTTTAGGGTATTTCTAGACTATGATATTGAATTCAAGAAATTTGTGGATGGATGTAAAGATGCACATCTGATATCATTTTTCAATGAAGCCCTTCAAAGGCTCGATGGCTTCGATTTCGTCCTTGAAAGTGAGAGGGCCAAAAGACTTAGAAGGGTTTTCAATTCTGCTGTAGTCCTGGAGTCCGAAAATGCTAGAGAGCATTTTGATGGAATGATAAAGCATGACGAGTCAATAAGTTCAAATGCCCTTGCTCATCTAGTTGGATGGAAGTACAAAGGGGAGCCTTATGATCAGGAAACCTGCAGAGGTGAGTACGAAAATACTCTCGAGAAGAACTCTAATATGTGTGGACGGAGACCTAGAGATTTCTTCAATGAGCTACTCTTGTCTCTAGATCTAGAAAAGAATTTCAAGTTTATTATTTTCTTGCTTGTGAAAGTAAAGAGAGTAGATCTAGCACTTTTGGTGGCCAGGCACGACTTAAAGGCAGGTATTGAGTATATGCTATCTATAACCAGTATAGATAATGTTATAAATTCTGCATTGGAGAGCTGCGATGAAAACTTGATACGTGAAACAATGGAGGCCTGCCGAAAAGACTCGTCGGACTTTCTTTCTTTAATTCATAGCTGTGAGGAAGGTTTGCGGAGGTTTAAAGTTAATGATTTCCTTGAGAATAGAGTCGATGCTCTTTGGCATCTGAGCAGAACAGAAATGGTTGATCTCGAAAGAGAATATATAAAAAAGCATAGCCTTGTTGAAGAAGCACTGATGTATGAAGCCTGTGGGTTGAGCATTAGAGAAGAGGGACATTACTTCAATCTGTGTGCAGAGCTTCTTTCTCCCGACAAGGCCTTGATCCTTTTTAAAAAAACAGGGAACATAGAGAAGGCTTTAGAGGTATCTTTAGAAAATCTGTATTGGAGAGAGGCCTTAGATCTTTGCGACAAGGAAAATTGGAGGGATCTTTGCAAGCTGTTGGCCTGTAGGCTTTCAGAGTCTGGAAGGCATTATGAATCAGGCAAATTGCTGGAGGAGTTTCTAGAAGATCCGGAAGGGGCCTTTGGCGAGTATATAAGGGCTAGAAGTATGGGAAATGCTTTAAGACTATGCACAGATGATGAATGCCTCATAAGGGAATCACGTGATATTCTGAGGGAGAAGCTCCTATCTCTTGATGATATCAAAAGATCCTTTATAAAATACAGGAACAGATTAGAAGCTCTTGAAGAAAGGGAGGACGATTGGATGAGCGAAACATCGTTCAGCTATACAGAAAATATGAAGGGGAGCAGAAGTACAAAGGCCAAGAATAGGCCAGGAGGCAAGTACGAGAAAGAATTTGTGCTTGGTAAGCTTAGGGATATTGGATTGAGCCTGATAAAATGGAGGGACGGAACAGAGGATCTTCTAATGGTATTCAAGAAATTTAAGATGGAGGAATGTATCTCTGCACATGATATTTCATTTAACGAAGTGGCAAGCACCATTAAGGATGATATGGATAACATATTCAAAACAGAAAAAGGTCATTTCTATGATCCAAATAGGCCGATTGTCGAAAAGCCAGACCTGAGTAAATGGTGCTAGTAGTTAAGAGGTACAAATAATGGACATTATCAATTCAATAAATATTTATCTTCCAGCTTATGCTTTAAAAGTATCAAGAAGAGGTGTGCAGTTGTAAGCTCGGGCCACATGGGCTTTGCAAAAAACACAGACGTCCCCTTTGCAACCTGGCGAATCATGAAGTTACTTAATCTTCTTGTATCTCCCGTTCTTATGAGTATGTCGACACGGCTGTCAAACTGAATCCCATTATTAATTTCATCTTCCGAGGAGTATGCGAAAAAGATGTTTACAGTTATATCGGTGTTGCTTTTAGACTCTCTCTCCAAGTCCACAAGTCTATCTCTAACATCCTTTTCAAGGAGATCCAACCTTCCATATACACGGAATCTCGGCATGATGCTTATTTCTTTGGGCTCTTTTGTCTTTCTTTTGACGATCTCCATTATTCCGTTTACTTCATCGGGAGACCTCTTAAGGTTGTTCAATGCAAAGCAGAAAAAGGAAATCTCCTTAAAACCATAGAAATACCCAAAGTTGATGAATTCGTATATCTTATGAAGACCTTTATCCTTTTTAAATCTATCTTTCTGCCCAAACTTCTTCATATATCTTCTGTTTCCATCGCAAATAAATGCAATATTCATGTCCTTAAAGATGCCAAGCTTACTCCTTTGATTGCTTCCAGTTGGATGACCATGGCTATAAGGCCCACCACTCCATATACATAAAGCTTTCCAGGCAAGCACACAAGCTTGCTTGAGAATCTCCAATATAAAAAGAACCGTCTTTATGGCATATGCACTGTTGATTATGCTCTCAGTGATTTCGATGGCACATACGAAAACTCTTACTCTTAGACTTCCTAGCATCTAACAGCCAATGGATTCCATAAAAAACTTTTAATAGCTCAAAAACACAATAACTAATTATGAGAGAGCGGACTTATCGTAAAACATCCTCAGCCATGCTTAAATAAAATCTATAGTGTTTCTGTCAAGTCTTTCCGTCTCTAGCTCTAACCTGTTTCGGATCGCACTTTCCTTGTTTCTTTCGTTCAATAGTTCGTTGTTCCTTATCTTCAGAACATTATACAACCTTTCTAGTTCCTCTATATTTCTCTTTATCTCCTGAGACCGAGTTTCATCGAGCTGAAGCTCCCTGTTGCCTATGTCATACTCTTCGTCATATTTTTTTATTCTGTCCGAAAATATCTTTTCCTCATCCTCAAGAAGTGCGAGCTTTGACCTTTGGTCATCCATCATCTTCGAGAGCTTTAAAAGTTCGTTTCTAGATAGTCTTATTAGAGCCAATGTCCTGCGCCTTTGAACCTCAACTTCCTTTATGTTGGCTTGCAAGTTCCTCAAATGGTTTTTCTTTGTATGTAGCCTTGACATCATTCCGTCCTTCATTTTCTGTGTATCCTGTATCTTCTCGGCAATTTGGTCTATATCCTGCAACAGTTTATCGATACTATTTTGCAGAATGCTCTCTTTCTGTTTGCTCTGTGCCATCTTTAAAGCTATAAACGATCTTTTTGCTCTCAACTCGTCAGATGGTCCGCCATTCCCTGCGATACCAAATCCCATCCCATCTTCTAGTGGTGCTCCGCCATATCTAGGAACATCTGTAAAAGAATCTCCGCCTCCAAGAGAAAACGGGGTATATTTGCTTTGATCCGATCTATATCCCATCAAAATGTCCTTTGGAGCATAATTTTGCATTCCAGACCCTTCGTATATATTCTTACCAAGCATCTCCTGATTGTTCCCGCCAAATAAGCTTCTAATGTGTAGTGGATTCAGTAAAGAATCCTCCTGGTAGCCTCTCTTTATCTCTGGCATCATGTCCTCGCCCGCCAGATTCCGTATCGGCCTTCCAGTATATTCTGGCTTTGGAAGGCCTGACATCGAATGGCCTCCGCTATCATCCTTTTTGCTTTCACCGTCATTTGTTTTATCAGACGGCTTTGACTCGTCCTGACCCATACCATTGTACTTTGAAAGCCCACTTTCGCTGTCCCCAGCTATTCTTTTTGTTCCTTTGCTGTTGGAAAGAAGCACCGTATCTTTGCTATTTTTTATAGCTCCTCCAAGGACATTCATAACTTTTCTGGCCATGTCCGGATCCTGGCCCCGCTTTTCAGTAACCCCGAGATCATCGATGACAACTACTTTGGACATACATAGCTGCAGCAGAACCATTATGATCATCATCTTTGTTTATTTCTTTGTACTACCTTGTTGTTTTTAATTCCTTTGTTTCACAAGCAGATCTTTGTCCTGGGGCCCAGAATGGGTGAAGAGAGCTAAGGTAATGGTTGAGTAAATGAAGATATGTCGAAAAGCCCTCAAAATGAGAGAGGAAGATCTAGAGGACATTAAGAGAGTTTATGAAAGACACGGAGAAGCTCTAGATGTAAGCAGAATAACGAGCGGGACAAGGCACGTTTTCAAATATGTTATGGACATCCCCGAGTCTCTGCTCGATTATCCAGAGGTAAAGCATCTCCGCTTTTTAGCAAAAGAAAAGATAAACCATATTGTGAATGAGATAAGAAGCCGGAATAATGAGGGGGATACTGATTCCGAAAGAACCTTAGAGTGGATGGCAGCCATGAAGAATATTAGAAAGGTTCATTCTGCAATTATGGGATATGAATCTGGGCGTATAGCATTTTGCAGAAAGATCAGCATAATATGTGCTAGAGAACTGAGAAGAGGGCTCTCGAAGACATCCAGGATCAATCCCATACTAAAGTCAAAAAGGATCTACAGAGAGTTGTTTGGGCACATCAAGAAGGCTGAAAGAAATATAAAGGACAGATCTAAGAAGGCAGAGAAGGAGGAAATGGAAAGGAAGAAGAAAGAAATGGAAGAAAAAGAAGAGCTAAGGCAGAAGAGAAAGTTTGAATATCTTTTAAGCCAGACGGAGCTCTTCTCTCATTTCATACTGAAAAAAAACAAATGCAGTCTTCCAGACATCGAGGAAGTAGAGGGGTCTGGAGCTGAAGAATATAACAAGATGAAGGGATATGAGGCAGCTATGCTTCAAAAAGAAAAGCTGAAGGAGTTTGGGCCGCCAAGATCTGGAAAGAAATTCAAGGATGGAGGAGAGACAACAACACGGTATGTACCCCAGCCAAAAATACTAAGGTGTACTTTAAAAGAGTATCAGATCAAGGGGTTAAACTGGCTTGTGAGTTTGTATGACAAGGGAATCAACGGGATCCTTGCAGATGACATGGGACTGGGCAAAACCGTTCAGTCGATCTCTTTGCTGGCCTACCTTTACGAAACAGAGGAGATTCCAGGACCCTTTCTTGTAGTAACTATTTCGTCAACACTTGATAACTGGGCTCAGGAGTTTTCAAGGTTTCTTCCCTGTTTCAAAGTGTGTAGGTTTTCTGGGTCTCCGAATGAAAGAAAAGAGCTAAAGAAGCAATTCAAGAATTCTGATGTCGTGATCACCACATACCAAACAGCTGTTAGTGATGAAAAGATGCTAAAGAAAATAAAATGGCAGTACATGATTCTTGATGAAGCACAGGCGATCAAAAGCAGTATGTCCCGAAGATGGAAGACTCTTCTGAGCTTTAGGGCGAGAAATAGGCTTCTTTTAACGGGTACCCCAATACAGAACTCTATGCAGGAGCTATGGGCTCTTCTTCACTTCATAATGCCCACTCTGTTTGATTCTCTCAGCGAGTTCAGTGATTGGTTTAGCAAGGAAATAGAGACCTCAGCAACAATGAAGAAAACAGTTGATGAGAAGTCCCTGCAAAGACTTCATACAATTTTGAAGCCTTTTATGCTTCGAAGGCACAAATCTGACGTTATTCATGAGCTAGGGCAAAAGACACAAATCGACTTGTATTGCAATCTGAGCTACAGGCAAAAGGTATTGTATAAGGAGATTACAAGATCTTGTTCAAGTATGGAGATGGAGAATTTACTCATGCAACTGAAGAAGGTTTGCAACCATCCTGACCTGTTCAAGAAGCTGGAACCTACTTGCGGGCTGAGTCTTGAAGTCAATGATGGGATGGGAGATGTAGTCTCGTTTGGAAGGAGTAAGATGGACATCAAGATTCCCAGTCTTATTGCAAAAGATGCACTTGAAGTGTTTCGTAGAAGGGAGCGGGAGCTGGCGGAAAGAATCAGCCACTTACGCAAAATTGCCTGTAGAAATGGATTTTGGGGATGGTATCTAAGGGAAAGTCTAGACTTCAAGTATGGAAGTCCCGTTTTTAGAAGTGTTGAGGAAGCTGGAAGGATCATTTTAAAGAATAGAGAAAGTATAGACCATGGATATTTGGTAAAGAAACTAAGAATGTCAATAGACGAAGAGATCTATTACCTGAGGAGATATGTTTGCTGTATAAGTCCTGTTGTGGCAACTGCTCCTAGGTTGCTTTCAAATGAGGTCGAGCTTCCAGCAATAGAATTGGAAAATATGTATATTCCACTCAATGCAACCATTCATGTTCCCCCGCTGAATACGTTCATCGGAGATAGTGGGAAGATGATTGTTCTAGATGAGCTACTTCCGCGACTTAGAGCAGAAGGGCATAGATTATTGATTTACTTTCAGATGACAAGGATGATAGATCTCATAGAAGACTATCTTGTGAGAAAGGGGTATACCTATCTCAGGCTTGATGGTAGTCTGAAGGCATCAGCCAGGGCAGAGGTTATTAGAGATTGGCAAACAAGTGATAAGTTTATCTTCTTATTGAGCACGCGTGCTGGAGGGTTGGGGATAAACCTAACAGCAGCAGATACTGTTATCTTTTATGATAGCGACTGGAATCCCACTGCAGATCAGCAGGCAATGGATAGAGCGCATAGGTTAGGGCAAACAAGAGATGTAACTGTGTACAGGCTCATAACAAGAGGAACGGTTGAAGAAAAAGTTCTGGAAAGTGCCAACAGAAAGGATGAGATACAGAAAATGGTTATTCATGGAAACATATTCGAAGGAGAGAACTTTTGAAATAAACAATACATTACAACCTGGATCGATACCATTCATTTGTTCTTTGGAGTCCAATTATATCCGTAGCTTCATCTGAGAGTACATTGCCCAATAGAACAGGCTCTTGGACAACCAGCTCCTTTTTATAGAAATAAATAATATATCAATGTATTTACAAGAAGGTGATCTATATGGAATTCCTGGACAGTCTGATTCTTGGGTCTAGTACGCCCAGATATGCCGACGAAGCACTTTTTCCTTCTAAGACATACAAAAAGCCGATATGTAATAGAAAACATTGTAATACAACGTGTACCTCAAAAGTGCTTGCAGAGTTTGAATTCTGGGCTTATTTTCTTTCAGAAAAAGAACCTAACAGGAAAGAGGTCAGGAAGAAAATACACACGATAAACCGAGACCTGAGGTTTTCGGTATGGACAAAATGCATAGGATCAAGGGAGAAATGCATAGAGCTAAAGCCGGTAGGGCTTCCTGATCCAAGCGGTGGCTCGAGTGATAAGCTCCAAGAAAATGAACATGGAAAGATGGAAGACAGAGACCTAGTGAAGTTCATATTGGACCTATGCAGGGATGTAGAAGGCAACAGCCAGGAAGACATGTTCAACATTATAAAGAACCTAGAGAGAGATTTCCCGATGATATCTGATTTCAGGCTACTTGCATTGTTCATAATGCATTTTCTGGAATTACCATATACCTCTCCAAGGGCCGTATACCGCTTTGTTTATTCGCTAATGGAGTCTCATAACTTTTGTAGTGTGTTCTCAATGGCTGAAGAGTCAAAGACAGATGGTGGGACAAGTGGAGATGAAAAAAATAGTACACGTCCAGCATTTTGGAAGTCTTTCGTATGTGACTATCCCCTAGTGTTTGATCAGATGGTTGATCTCTTGCTTTGCTACGAGGGTGCAGACATAGCTTCTGTCCCTGCATTTCTTCAGAGGCAAACTGGAGGCAGTAATTTGGAAGAATGGGTTAAGTTTATATCAATAAGGTCGAATTTAGAAAAACTAGGTGATGTCTTTGATAGTAAAAGGCTAGAAAAGCCCGTAGAAGTGAACAAAAGGGAGGAAACATACTTTGACTTCCTGGTTGTTCAAAACGAGGCCATAAAGGCTCAGGAGATGATGAAAATAGAGGCCAGCGAAAGGCTTAATTCTCTTCAAGAGGAAAGAAATGAGCTTTATGTGCAGAAGGTCAATCTTATGAAAGCATGCTCATCCTTAGAATCCGACCTCAAGGAATATCGCGAGGGGTATGTCAAAAAGGTTGAGGAAATGCTTCACGATGTCGAAGATAAATGTGAGAGATATGAGCAAGAGAATATAAAACTCAAAGCAAAACTGGAGGAGAAATGAATACAAATAGATTGTTGTAAGATTAAATTGTATAGAGAAATGTTCTTTTGGTTTTAAGGGAATACAATCCGTTTAGATTATTGGAAACGATCCCCTTAGGTTTAATGCACATCAAGCAGATAAGGCTGAAAAACTTCAAAAGCTTTAAGGATGAGACATTGATACCATTATCAGAGGGTGTTAACATTGTTGTTGGACGAAATGGGAGTGGGAAAAGCAGTATTGTATCTGCAATCCGTTTTGTATTGTGCGGAGAGAAGTATAGCTGCGAGTCAAGAATGGAGCTTATCCACGAAGGGATTAGGGCCAGTGAGGAGGAGGCAAGTGTTGAGATTGTATTTCACGATGAGACAAGGGAGTTTGAGGAGAAGGGGCTTAGTGTCAGAAGAGTTGTGGGAATCAAAAGAGATGAGTACATGCTAGATGGAAAGGTTATGTCGAAAGAGGAAATTGCGGGATTACTCCAAAGCCGTGGGTTCACGACAGATAGTCCATACTTTATTGTTTTACAAGAAGAGGTATCTGAGTTTGCAATTCTTAGTGACAAAAAAAGATACGAATTGATGAAAGATGTTGCAGGAGTGTCTGGATATGAAAGAGATAGGGAGAATAGCATGTCTATGCTTGAGGAGACGAGGATAGGCGAAAACAAAATTGAGCTATTATTGGATAAGATTGAAGAAAAGCTAAGAGGATTCGAAAACGACAAGAGGGAGGCGGAATTATGTTTGGAGTTAAAGAAGGAGAAGAGAAGGCTTGAGTATGGATATATTGAGAGGGAGGTTGGAGAGATTAACAAGGAAATCTCGAGTATTGAGAGCCTTGTATCTAATGACCTTGAGGAAAGTTCTGAGGAACATGAGGACTATGGATGTGAGATTAGGGAAATAGAGAATAGGCTAGTAGGCCTTATTAGTAGGAGAAAGGAGCTGTATGCTGATGAGAAGTATAAGGAAAAGGAATGTGAGATTGAAGAGGAGATGAGAAAGATTGAAAAGAAAAGAAGCGATTTTTGTGAGATTGAAAAAACTGAGAAGAGGAATCTGATGAATCTTAGAAGGGACGAGAAGGAGAACTTTGTGAAGTCAGGGTACATAAAATATCTGGTGGGGTTTCTCGAGACTTTAGGCAATAGAGAGGTGAGGCCTGAGGAAATAGAGGCAGCTAGAGAGGCTTTGAAGCAAAAAATAGAAAGACTAAAAGCTTTTGATGGACCTGAGAGTTCTAAGGCAGTGAAGGCTGAGGAAAGGAAGAATCTTGAGGAGCTCATTGAAAAGAGAAAGTATCTATGGAGGGAGGAAAGAAGACTTAAACTTTCTGAAGAGTCAATAGCAGAAGTCATTAAGTCGCAGGAAGATAGACTTATTGTGATGGGTAATGGTGGGGTAGATGCATATAGGCAGATAAAGTGCGAAAAGGGGGTTCTGGGATATGTATATGACTTGATAAGTGTTCCCAATGAGTTAGCAAGTGCCTTCGAGGCGGTTGTGGGAAATGCCCTATTCAATATAGTTGTTGAGAATGAGGAAGTAGCATCGAATGTATTAAGAAAGATGAAGGATTTAAGATCAAGAATAACTTTCATGCCGCTCAATAGAATTAAGTATAAGGAGGAGGACGAGGTGAAGGATCCAAATGTTATTTCGTTGACATCGCAGTTGAAATGCAATCATAAATATAAGGCTCTTCTTGGATACATTACAAGAAGCTTCTATCTTTGCCCGGACTTGAAGCAGGCACTTTACTCATCCAAGAAGTATGGGATTAATGTTGTTACGCTTTCCGGAGAAATAGTGACCAGAGAAGGGCCTATAACCGGCGGATACGAAAGAAGAAACATGGCATTCCAGGAATACAAGAAGATTTGCAAGGAAGCGAGAAGAATGAAAGGAGAAATTGCCCGAATACAGCATGACCTCAGGAAGATAAGCGGAGAAATTGAAGAGGCAAGGATGTATAGGGAGGAATCTGGAGATGGATCCAGGTACCATGAGAGCCTGAAATCTGGCGTCTTATTTCTCCAAGAAAAGATAGAAATACTAGAGAAGATTATCAAGGATGGGCTTGATAGAGACAAGATTAGTGGAAGACTCCGAAGATTAAGAGAAGAGGAAAAGGATTCACTGCTCAAAAGCATATGGATCGCTGGAGAAATCAAGAAAGTTGATATGAGAATAAAGGAAGCCAGAATTGAGATAAAGAGGGTGAATGACAGTATGGGACACCTTAAGGAAGAATTGGAAAAGTCTAAGATGTATAAAGAGGCAATTGAAATTGACAAGAAGATCTTAGAATTAAAAGATAGGAGAAGGGTTGCTAAGGAAATGATGTTCAACGAGGACAACATGGGGCTATTTGCAAGGCCCAAGAAGATAAATATTGAAATGGAAAAGCTGATGAGGAGAAAACACATGCTGATAAACAAAAGAAACGAATTGTGTGAGAAGATAGGCGTCTCTGATTTCAAGAATTTAGAAAGGCTATTTCCTGACAAGGGGAAAGAAGAAATAATGGAGGAGATAGCTAGGATCAACGAAAGGATCCGAGGGCTTTCGCTAGTTAACAGAACCGCAGTATCTCAATGGGAAAGCTATATAGGGCAGAAAGATTCTATGAGGAAAAAGTTAGAAGATATGAAGTACGACAAGAAGTGTATACTTGATTTTATGGCGGAGTTAGACTCTAGAAAGGAAGACACTATGAAAAAAGCTATAGAAATAGTAAAGGAAGGGTTTTCAGAGTTCTATTCAAGGCTTACGAATGGAGGCACAGCAGAGCTTTACTCGTACGAGTCCGGTATAGGCGTTAGAGTAGGGGAAGGCACTAGTACAAATCTGCTCAGTGGGGGACAGAAGGCTTTAGTGGCATTATGCCTGATATTTAGTATGCAAAAAGTAAGTCCATCGCCTTTATATGTACTTGATGAAATTGATGCTAACTTAGATTCGCAAAGTAGGGAAAGGGTTTCTGCGTTGATAAGGGAAATGAGCATGACATGCAAAAATCAGTTTATAGTAACAACTTTTAGAAAGGAGCTACTAAATTGCGGAGATAAGTATCTCAATGTCGAGTTCCAGGAAAAAAGAAGTAATGTCAGGGAGATTGATGTGGTAGCAGCCCATAAATTTCTTGAAGAAGGGCTGGGCGAAAGATAAGAGGGAGACGCTGCTATCAGGGCTTATACTTTCTTGAAAAACTCACCCCCTCTTTGATGGGAGAAAGCGAAGAGTTTGTTTCTCCGCTTGACCTGGCAAAAAGGTTAAGATCCAATATGTACGACCCTTCTGAAGCGCTTCTGTCTATACAGTGTCTAAGCAAGCCCTTTTCCATAAATAAGGATCAGGTCAGGGCAGTAAGAAGGCTTTCAAAATTTCTTTTCTGCCTTACCTTGGACAGGGATGTGCTTGTGTCCCTAGTGTTCAATCATGAGACAATTGATACATTCATGAACTTTAGCAAGATAACTATGCACAGGATGTATGATGGAATTTATTATAATGTTGATATCGAACTGTGAGTAGCTAATAATAAACATTTGAGATGTTTTTTTACCAAAACGTTCTGCCCTAATGCTGAAAGAGCTGATTGATGAGGACGATTTTTGTAAAAAGCTGAGGATGTCTAAAGAGGCAAATACTAAGGCCGGGTTCTATTCGCTTTTTTATATTTTACTACACGATCCATCTCTACAAGTATTGGAAAGTCTTCTTTCTAATTACACACTGCAAGATGTCGTAAACGGTCTTAAGCATCTTATTAAGTTCAAGTTTGATAGGCTGACTAAAGATGCCTATGCAAACATACTCTTTGTAGTCCGAATGATGTTAGACTATGAAGAGAACATAGATACGCTAATTATAAATCTTTTACGGCATCACTTGGTCGAGGAGGTGTATTCTATGTACAAAGATAAATCAAGGTATTTCAGCAATCATCCAAACAGTCTAATGTTCTTGATGTTTTTCTGTGCACAAAGCAATTCAAAAAGAGATGCTTTTGAGGATTCCAACTTCACCACACGGGATTTTTTATTCACAACTGTAAGAGAGATGATTACAAATCCACACTTTGATGAATATAAAAAGAAGAGGGCAAAGAAGATGTCGAAAAGTGCGAGCCCAGAATATCCTGACTTTCCATTTGCTTCATATTTTTCCTCGAAGCAACTTCTTCAGACACTGCTCACGCCTACACCTTTAAACATCCTGTCTTCTCAGCTTTCTGTGGAGCTCGAAATGAATATTATGTTTATCTTAGAACACGAGCAAAACTTCAAGTTCCATCTGGGTCTCCTCTTCAGAAACTATATAAGAAACGAGGACGATGCATGCAGAGCCCTCAGGTTTATTGTGAATATTCCATATCCACAGAATATTGCAAGGTTGGCCAATTCGATTTTAGATAAATATCCGTCATCGTATCTTGCGCTGATATATGACATGCTGTTTTGGAATCAAAAGGAGAAGCTGAATGGAAACCTGGTAGAATATCTAAGGGGAAGTAACAACAAAATCACAGCAAAGCTAGATTCTCTACAAGAAGAGTGGGAAGCGTTGAGACTAGCCATGGAGAGTATTAAGAGGAAGCAAGAAAACACAGTGGAGGATGTGATTAGGATGATCCATGGCCTCAACTTTCAAAAATATTTTGGCCTAATCAAAGAAATGGAAAAATGGGGAACACCTATAGTTCCAAGAGAAATGTATGACAGAATCATAGGGGAGTCATCTGAGTGGGACGGATATGCACAAGTCTATTTATGGAAAATAATAGGATTCCAAAAAATTTATCTAGGATTTGATGTTGATACGCCCAGAAGAATAGAGAGTCTAGAGGCACTAGAAGGCTTCGAAATTGTTAGAAATCTTTTGAGCATTAAAAAGAAGCCGTAGGGTTCTCTTCTAAGTTATATGATTGATCTGTTCCCTAGCATCTCGGCCAGGCAGTCTTTGTGCTTCCTGATTTCTACTATATGTTTCTTCAACAAAAGTACATCATCAAACCTTAGGTTTCTTAGGCCGACCAGATATTTTAGCTTTACAATGTTCAATTGCTCATCTAAGAGATCCATCATTGTTTTTATCCTCACTGTAGTCCACTTATTTGCTGTTTCTGCTTGTATCTTCAGCTTTATATTGCTGAGTATAAGTCTCTCTCCACAGCTTAGTTGTGTAGACTTCAAAGAAAAAATCTTTTCAGCTAGATCCCTCAGAGAGCAGTTCTCGGGAATATTAAGAAGCTGAAGGAGTTTGATTTCATCCTCGCTGGGAGGCTCAGAAGGCTTTGTCTCGTTTCCTCTTATTCTTCGCAGCACCTTGGCACATTCAACGGCAATGGAGATCTTAAAGTCTATTGGAGGAGGATGAAGCTTATGAAAGCATCCTTCACACAATAAATCATTAATATCCATCAATTTGTAGCACAAAGAACAGCTCATCGATTTCGATTGTCTGGCGAGATACTCAAAAGTTAAGCTTGTTCGCATAAAACGTTCCTTTGTCTTTGTATCCCTTAAAACCTTAAACGCATTGGTCCAATTGATAATCATGTATTTTTGAAAAAATCCTTTGATCTAAATATACCCGGTATATCTTCAACAGAAAACCTGTTTCAGAAGAGAATCACTATAGCAAGCAAAAGAGATCGCTGAAACATTTTAATCGGTTTTCTTACTGTTTTCAATTACATCCTTTTTGCTGAGTTCGTTTTCAGCAACACTCTTTACAGCGTCAGTGGCCTTTTTTACTGCGTTTTCAATTCCACCCTCCTCTCTGTACCAGCTCTCCGGAATTCGCACCAGTATATTGTCATAGATGATTATTCCCCCTCTGAACTTGAGAGGCCCTGCCCATAGGAGGAAAAAAAACTTTATAGTGTACCATAAGGGGACGAATCCGATGATAGTGTTATAGTAGGCATCTAAAGACGACAAAATCCCGAAAATCATCCAGAACACAATCATGTGCTTTGTCTCCTCCTTTTTTGGATTCACCTGCCTCAATATAACGAGGGTTTCCTGAAGTGGAATGATTATTCCAATAGTAGATGTTACTAGAGGGCCGAGAGATGTTGCCATGATAATTACCAAACAGAGAAAGCTTATTCCAAGTAGAGCATATTCCTTCCTGATGTTCATTCTCTTCTCGATCGCATCCAGAATAGGAATCCTCTCGGCTTGTTTTCGCAAACAATCCATTTTGGGGTCTATTTTCAAACAAACATATAAGGAATTTTGAAGTTTATTACAGGTTTGCATATTATTAGAGACTTTTCAAGGCCTGGTTATGTCCACTCATTCCACGGGGCATGAGTTTTTTATGAATATGGCCTTCGCCGAGGCAGCAAAGGCATTTAATAAGCTAGAAGTTCCTGTGGGATGTGTTGTTGTCAGAGACGGGGCTGTGCTATCCATGTCCCATAACATGACGAATGCTAATAAATCGCCGCTTGATCATGCAGAAATAATTTCTATTAGAGATGTAGACTGCTCGAACAGCATATTCTATGTGACTTGTGAGCCATGCATTATGTGCATGGGAATACTTGGGAGATTGGAAAATGTCGAAGTGTACTACGGATGCAAGAATGAAATCTTTGGAAGCGAAACAATATGTGGTGTTGGGGTAAATAGTACACACCTGCCAGATGACCGATGCTTTAAGATACTTCAGGAGTTTTATACCCGAGAAAATGCATTTGCTCCTGATGAAAAGCGAAAGATCAAAAGGAATCGTTGAGTAAAAAATTTATATATTACTTACCTTATTGACTTCAGAATAGATAACAAGCTTTCTGAAGGCAGGTACCTAGGACATATAAAGGAATGTGGGGATACAGCTGTGTAGGAGGGTAGTGTTACGGTGGGATCTGAAATAAACTTGTCATTTCTATTGTCGTTTCCAAAGAAATACGATGCCTCAGCGTCGAGTTTCGACACAATTTCATTTATCTGGACACAGTTCAAAATAGAGCATTCATCTAAAATCAGATCTGCCGTTGCTCGGGACTCGACAAGATTGATAAGTCTTATTATTGATGTGGTGTGGGACAGATTAAACATTCCCTCCAGATAATTTATGCTTCTGCAAAACTTGTCTATCTCATTTATGTTGTAATTTATCTGGACTCCCCGGTTGAAGGAAAGGAAGTTTTTCTTAACCAGGATCTCGTTGAAGACGGAAACGTTTATGGTTTTGAGAAGATAATTGACAGATTCCATAATATATGTGTCCGGGATGTAATAGTAGGACATCTGGTGATAAAAGTATTCTAGGAGACGTATAAGTTTGGAAATGTGAGGAGGTTTGAATATTTTTTTGAGGTATCCTTCGTTACATTTGAATTTTGATAGCTGCTGGTGTTCTATGACAGCATAGGGAAGGACTTCAAGAAGAGAGCTTCTCTGAAGCTCACAAAGATGTTTGAACAAAACAGATACGAGATTTTTGACCTCGCTTACATTATTGATTCCCTGCCCACGGAGAATGCTTTCGTATTCAATAAGATTGGATAGAATGAAGGAAACCTTATGTATGTTTCTCTCAAACATGTGTAACTTAAGGCTAATCTCATTCATCATACATACTGAGCTTTCTACTATATCCTTCCCAAGCTTATTCACAGCGTAAAATGCAGAATGCGCCAGACTCAAAACCTCAGGTCTAGGTACTTCCTCGTTCGAAAACGTAGGAACAAACTCCAAATACAATTGTACCAGGCAGCTGAGCACATTATAAGAATTGGTAAACGACACACTCATCTGCGAATCGTCGTCGTCCTCTTCTTTTTCTAAAAGAAGCCTTTCAAGATCCTCAACCTTTGCTTTGTATTTCTCGAGCTCCAACTCAACCATATTTTTTTTCTTTAGAGCTTCACTCTGGAACCTGTACTTCAGCTCAAGAGATTTGCAATTCCTACAAGGCGCCTCACAGAATCTTTTGTATTGTTCTATCTTGAGTTCTAGATCTCGTATTATCTCCTTGTAGCTTCTTTGCTCCTCAGTGTCTTCTTTTGAATCTTGGAGTTCTTCAATATCTTCGCCCCCTTCAACTAGGAGCTCCATGGAATTATGATCCGTAAGTGGAACGTCTCCATTCATATCCCTACTCACAAACGTAATGCTTTGCTTTTTATCGGGACCTCGTCCACTCAGATAGCCTCTCAAGGCGTGCTTGATATTTCTAAAACACTCAGCATAAAATAGAAGCCTGCGTGCTTCTAAGATATTTAGGGTCTCGTTGCTCATAAAGTACCTTGTTTTCCCCTTTTTCACATTGACCATATCGAATAACGTAGGCTCAAGAATTTTATAGCGACTTTCAAACTCATCCTTCCTTATTTCCTGTGGGAAACATTGCTTACTTACCCTTATGGTTTCCAAAATTCCACACTCTACAAGCTGTTTTGATACTAATAATCTATCAAATACTTTTGGCTTCTTGTGAGCATTGGGCTTTATACATTTTATATATTTTGCTTGAGTTTCATTTATGGAATGGAGTAACCTATTCATGGAATCTTTGAAATACTTAACTAGATCCTCTTTGCTTTCTTCATCAATGATAAGATCATTCTTGAATATCCTTAGGTTTCCTTTTTCTCTGTTCTTATCTAAAAATGACCTTAGATCGTACTCCACGCTCCCTGCATAGTGGGATACTATTATCCTATCATCCGCCTTAGTCCTGATATTTCCATTCAAATAGTTTTTTATCTTCATGCTTAGGTTTTTAGTATTTCCCCATGCATTAAAGCTCTCCTCACTTATTAGATCCATAAGCCCACAGGGCTTTTCAAAGTCAAGAATACATTGGTTATTGTCAAAGAATTCGACATCATTCCACTCAATGCCTTCCTCCTTGTACATTTCCTGCTTCTCTCTGAAAACCTTCCTAATAAAGTCGCTCTGTATCTTCTCATTTGTCCAGTTTATGCAAAGCTGATCAAGGCCGTTGTTTTCAAAAACCTCAAATCCAAATATATCAAGAACAGAGATAGAAACCTCTCCGCTTCCACTCAGGCAGCTGTTTATGGATGTTGTAATATAGTTGAATATGTTCGAGTAAAGTAACCTGGCCATAGAGTTTCTTATTGTGATGGCTTGCTTCAAAGTGTTGAAGACCTCTATCGTTTCTCCCTTGACTTTTATCGAAAATCTAACAAGTGATTCCTCAAATACGTCTTCTTGGATGTGGTGAAGCTTGCAGAATTCAGTAAAACACTCATTTCTCACAACCTTGAGAATCCCATCACTGCTGAATTGAATAGACCCTAAATATAGAATTCCTAAAAGGCATTTCTCAATCTCTTTTATACAGGTTATTCCTATGCTTTTCATTGCAGAACATGTTGCCTCATATTCTTCAGACAGGCGCATAGTGCTTTCTCTATCTCCTAGTAGATTTGAAGTGTCAATGAAATCGTTCTTCAAGTTAAAGTCCTTAAAGGCGCAAAATTGGTAAAATATATGAAAGTTCTTTTCTCCGGCTTCATGGTGAGTCACCCTGCTCTTTTCGAGGAGATATGTCTCAAACCTAGCTCCGGTTATTTTTCCATCAAACATTAGCTTGATCCTTTTTCCAAACCTCGAACTGTTATCATTGAGAACAGTCTGTGCATTTCCAAATGCTTCCAAAATCGCATTGGCGGCTGCTATGTTTCTCTCGATAGATGCATTGCTTGCTGTTCTTTCTACTAAGTACTTTATAACTAGTTTTGTGTTTTCTGTTTTTCCAGACCCGGACTCCCCGCTAATTACAATGGTTTGATTTCCATGGACAAATAAATCTTGATACGATGCCTCCGCCACATCATAGACATGTACATTGCCAGAATAGTCAGAAGACGGCTGCAAAGTCTTTATGTCATGAGAGTTAATGTTTTCATATGGATTAAGAGCCAGAAATATTAGCCCGGATTTGGTATAAATCCTTCCAGAAGCATACCTCTTCTCCAATATGTTAAGGATAACATCATCATCCAGATCATTCAATTCGCATAGATCATTATTTTCCATCTTGGGATACAGAAGCCTCTTCTTTTGTTCTCCGAAGAACCAATGATTTGTAAGAAGTACGATACGAAGGTCTATACCTCGAACCATTTGGAACCAATAAAACAGAGTCTAACTATAAACCATTTAATGGGTTAGCAACGGTAACAGCAAACAAATCATTTGGAGCTGTACGCATTCAAGGCACCTTGGGTGCATGCTTGACTACTACATTGAGCTTCTTCTCAAAATACAAAAGACTACATAATAAGTCGTCATCATTTTCAAATGCCACAAGAGAGTCCTTGTCCTTTATGTAGAGAGAAAACTCATTATAATGGTCCAGGCTCACAAAGTCCAGACTCTGAGATGGAAGAAAATGACCTCCAATCCTTCTGATCACGTTCTTCTTGAAGTCTGCAAAGCAGGCGTTTCCAAGGGGAACCAGAAACTTCAAATCCGCAAATTCTACAAGTGCCAACCCTACTATATCGTTTTCACTCAAAATGCCTCCAAGTCTTTTGGCTTTGAATATACGGAATATTTTCTTTTTCTCCTCCGGCGTGCATGGTATCTTCATCCATGATCCGTTTTTCAGCCCAAACCTCAGGCCTTCTCTATTTTTCTCAACTCTTAAGATATTTTCGTACAGGATTTCTCCTGCTTTTCTATCCTTATAAAGAATCGTAAATCTATCAGGATAAAAAGACGTGGAGTATTCAAGAGTTTTCGCTCTAAACTTGTATTTACTCTGTATACTTGCCAGCGCAGTGACACTGCTTTCGGAGTTCATCTTCATTTTCTGATCTCAGTTGTTTTCAATAGCAATTGCAAAACTACTGGTTTCAACTTGATCATAAATAAAACAATAAAGCCGGGAGATTGCCCTAGAATATACCGCCAAATATCAAGACTTCCCTCCAACACTAAATATAATCTGAGGGCCCAGGAAGGAGAGAATGGCTAACGAAGTAAAATCGTTTCTTTCATCTCCTATATCTTTAGAGGCGATAGAACCAGTCAAGAAAAGAGCTAAAAGAAAGGAGCGTCCCTCAAAATGTATTTTATCAAAATCAATCTACGAAGAAACCGACCTTTCAAAGCTTACACCTAGGCAGAGAGTGCTTCATCAAAGGTACCAGGAAAGCAAGGATAATGTAACAAGTTTCTTCCTTCTGTCAAACAACATTTCTATACAAAAGCATTCAGATGATAAACCAAAGGAAGATGAAAAGGAGAATGTCTCCAATGGCGAATTCCCTCGGGAAAACACAAATGGGCCAAACTGTAGAGAATACAAGGTTGACGCACAGAATGAAAACAGATTTCTGGTTGTAACTAGCGATCTATATAGCAGCTCATGCGATGGAACCAGGGAAGAATCTATATCGTCCGAAGATGACGGTAAGATAATAGAGGCAATGGATGTAGAGTCTCCATTCGATAACGAACTACATGAAAATGCCATATACAAAGGTTGTCTAATTTGTAAAGAATGCTTTAGAGATGCGGTAAGGATATACTGTACCTTAGAAAAGATAAGTAGCATGCACAAGTGTAGCTATCAAAATTCGATAATTCTCCATAAGTACAAAATACGCCAGAACTTCAAAAAACAGCTATGCTTCAGTGCCATCAGAAAGGAAGAGGTCATGTTTGTAAAAGCGTTGGGGCAGCTTAGATGCTGTAATTCCAAAGCCTAAGAGTCATACATTATTTGGGATTTTCTATAAGGTAAAAACCGCTTGTTTATTTGCCTACTTCTTTTTCTTCAAATTCAATAACACTTTCGATCTCCTGGACTATGGGCCCAGAGTCTTCTAATCGTGCAACCCTTGTTATCTCAAGATTCTTTTCATATCTGTCCGAAAAGTTGTCGAATAGCTGGTCTCTAATCGGGCAAAACATAGATATTAGGAGCATATCAAGTATCAGCCTGGCTCCAAAGCTTAGACTTTGCTCGATCTGATAATGCAAGTCAGTCATCTCAAACGGGATTGCAACCGTGTTTATGGTATAGGTAAGAAACCCATGAAGCATAAGGCAGAAACTTAGCAGGTTTGTGCTGTCAAGAGACTTGTACTCAGATAGAAAGCTATGTTTCGTTCGGAGTATTAAAAGCAATGCCACGGAAAGGTATACTTCACTCCCGAGGAGAAACGACTCTAAAAAAACTGCTGTCTTTTCCCCCATCAGCCTTGATCTGCTATAGTAGTAATACAGAAGAGCAGGTACCCTTAGGATCGCATACATCTTAGCAAATGTGACAACGGATGTATTGAACATCGACCTTGCTACAAAGGTCCTCGTTCCAGCCGAACTAGTTTTAAATATGTCAAAGGATCTATCGCCTCCATTGAATACTGAATATGCACAAGGCCCCCATAATCCGATCAGCAAAAACACAGAGGACATCCTCAAAATCCTCGAACCAATAAGTGAAATGTTCAGAAGATACGCCAAGTCAACCTTGATGCCCTTGTATATTATCGGATAACTTTCATTAAGCCCTCCAACAAGCTCTATACTTGGTTTGTCTATCTCGAGTTTGGTACTAAGATACGCTATTATGCATATGCAAGTGCTAGAAAAAAATATAGATGTCAATGAGAAAATGGATCCAAGGCTTCTTAGCTTTCCCCTGAATATGTTGTAGCTGGGAATGGTGCTTCTGGTGGATCTCCAGATAGCAAACATTAGAAGTAACAATGAAAACACAGCCTCGTTTGTGTAAGAAAGAATCTTGGAATTGTATAAAAGATCGCTGTCTTCCATTTATTTACACCAACTATCTGGCTTTATAATCTAAGTGTTTCAAAGCTAAAACTGTGTATTAAATATCGAGGTAGGTCGTATTATTATGTTTTTTTGTGAAACATACACCATGGATAAGAAGGCCTGAATAATTCCTAATCGCTTGTATCTTTTCCTTATAACACCCAAGTATGCCCTGCTACAAACATGTAGGCGAATAACTCAGGAAGCTGACTGTTCTTAAAGTCAAAAATAATAATTGCTGTCGATCACATTTTCTTCTGGAAATTCATTAA